ATACTATGTCTAGGTCCAAGCTGTGCGCTATAATGAAGATCCCCTCCTATCCACCTTCACTCCCCTTCAGAACGGCGAGAATACCTCCGTCGTCACCAGCTCCTCCGTCCTGATTACCGCCGTCCCTCACCTTTACCGTCTCGCCAACAGCCCTGTGGTCATCCACGTTGCTCTGGAGCCCTCTCCGTTCCCCGATTATTCTGTGATCAGCTCCATTCGCCAGTCCGGTTTCACATTCCTCCACTCAGAGACCGTGCAAGAGGCCCAGGACATTGCTATCACAGCTCACGCGCTTGCTCGCAAGTCTGGAAAGGGTGTCATCCACTTCTTCGACCCCTCCAACTCGGCCAAGGACCCCTCTATTCGTGAGGAGGACGTCGAGGTCGTGAAGAAGGTTCTCAGCGCTGGTGGAAATACCGCCACCTCTGCTGGAACCCAGACTCTTTACGCTGACTCCGGTCGTGTGGCCACTGTTACTGAAGAGACCGTGGGTACTTCACCCACGGGCCAACCCGAGGCAACAAACTTGACTGTGCCCTCTCAACCTCAAACTCCTTTCAACGCTAGCGTTGACAACTCTTCAGTTGGCTCCTCGCGTAGAGACAGCAGTGCTGGTAGTGAAGCCGCGAGCTCGACCGCGACGACTGTGGACAGCGCCACCGCCCGGCCTGTTAACGCGGGCGACATCTTCGAATGGACAGCTCAGATTTGGAACACTCTGTTCGAAGAAGTGGGCCGCAGATACAATGCCATTGAGTACACTGGTGTTTCTGATGCTAAGTCTGCTATCTTCGTCTTTGGCTCTACCGGAGTCTTCGTGGATGCTCTCGCCAACGCCGGTGCTAACCCGGAGTTGGAGAACATTGGCCTGATCACTGCTCGCCTCTACCGCCCCTGGGTTGGTGGTCAAATTTCCAACTCTATCCCTAGTTCTGTTGAGAAGATCGCTGTTCTCGAGCAGGTTCGCAAGACTACCCGATGGGGTCCTTCGTTCATGGACTTGCTGTCCAGCCTCACGCCCTCTGGCACTCGCGCTCAGGCTCCTCAAATTGTCGGGTACCGTCTCGGATATATTGAGCCCTCTACCGCTGTCCAGGCCCTTCGCGGTGTCTTGCAGAACCTAAACTCCGCTTCTCCCATCCAGAACCTTGACATCGGAAGCTCTCAGGTTCCTACTGTTCAACACGCTCTTGAGCAGCCTCACATTGAGAACGCTTACTTGAAGATCTTGAATCAGCTCTTTGGTGAGCGCCTTCACATTGCCAATCAGCTTGGATCCAATAACGCTGGTGTCTCAAGCACCATTGCTGCAAGCCCCGAGTTTGGATTTGGTTCGCTGCTAGCTCGCCAGGAGCACCGCCAGCGCTTCATCCGGGAGGTTGAGGAAGCCACCAAGTCCAACGCCTTTGCTACTGACGCTCCCAAGACTTGGTTGTCTCGCTGGGCTCTGAATGTGAAGGAAGCCGCCAAGGCTAACAAACTGGCTCCTGATGTGATTAGTCGTCTCTCCAACGATGGCTCGGCGCTTTCCCGCGAACTCCTCCAGTCCAAGAATTTCTTCTACGAGGAGTCTGACTGGCTGATCGGCTCTGACGCCTGGGCTTACGATTTCGGCAACTCTGGTGTTCACCACGTTCTCGCTTCTGGTGCGAACGTGAACATGCTCATCATCGACTCCCAACCCTTCTCTGAGCGCGCTGCATCTGACGCCACCCGCCGTAAGAAGGATATTGGTCTCTATGCCATGAACAGAGGTAACGCATATGTTGCCTCGGTCGCTGTTTACAGCTCGTACACTCAGGTTCTTCAGGCCATGTCTGAGGCCCAGCAGTTCAAGGGTCCCTCGGTTGTTGTCGCCTACCTGCCATACAACAAGGAGAATGACTCGGCACTCACAGTGCTGCAGGAGACCAAGAAAGCCATCGATCTCGGCTACTGGCCCCTATACCGCTGGAACCCCGACAACGAAGAGAAGGGCGAGCCAAAGTTCTCTCTTGACTCCGAGCGCATCAAGCGTGATCTTGAAGAGTTCCTCCGCCGGGACAACCAGCTTACCCAGCTCATGAACCGCAGCCCCAAGTACGCTCCTGTCCTCTCTGAGTCCTACGGCACTGAGGTTCGTGCTTTGCAGAAGAGAAACGCCAAGGACTCCTACGAGAAGCTCTTGGATGGTCTGTTCGGAGCTCCTCTCACCATTCTCTTTGCTTCCGACGGTGGTAATGCCCAGAACATTGCTAAGCGTCTTGGCAACCGTGGTCGCGCCAGAGGCCTGAAGACCATGGTCATTGCTATGGATGAATTCCCTCTCGAGGACTTGCCCACTGAGGAGAATGTGGTGTTCATCACTAGTACTGCAGGCCAGGGTGAATTCCCTGTGAACGGTCGTGCTCTCTGGGAGCATGTCAAGAACACCGGTGATCTCGACCTGTCCACCATCAACTATTCCGTGTTTGGTCTTGGTGACAGCCACTACTGGCCCCGCAAGGAGGACAAGATCTACTACAACAAGCCTGGCAAGGAGCTTGATGATCGTGTCGCCTTCCTGGGTGGTCGCAAGCTGACTGACATTGGCCTCGGTGATGACCAGGACCCGGATGCCTACCAGACCGGGTACTCCGAATGGGAGCCTCGTCTGTGGAAGTCTCTGGGTGTCGATAAGGTGGAGGGTCTTCCCGAGGAGCCTGCCCCGATCACCAACGAGGATATCAAGGTCGGCTCTAACTTCCTTCGCGGCACCATCGCGGAAGCTCTTCTTGATGAGAGCACTGGCTCCATCCCAGCTAGTGACCAGCAGCTGACCAAGTTCCACGGTACATACATGCAAGATGACCGTGATCTCCGTGATGAGCGCAAGGCCCAAGGTCTTGAGCCTGCCTACAGCTTCATGATTCGCTGCCGTCTTGCTGGTGGTGTTGCCACCCCCAAGCAGTGGCTGCAGATGGATGCCATCAGTAGCTCACACGGTAACGAGACCATGAAGCTCACTACCAGACAGACCTTCCAGTTCCACGGTGTGATCAAGCGCAACCTTCGTGGTGCCATGCGTGCCATCAACAACTCCATGATGGACACACTCGCTGCTTGCGGTGATGTGAACCGTAACGTTATGTGCAGTTCTCTCCCCGAGCTGTCCTCCTTCCACCGTGAGACCTGGGCCATCTCTGCCAAGATCAGTCAACACCTGCTGCCCTCAACCTCTGCCTACCACGAGATTTGGCTGAAGGATGACAACGACAAGAAGGTCCAGGTTGCTGGAGATGCTATCGTTGACCATGAACCCCTCTACGGTCCCACCTACCTCCCCCGCAAGTTCAAGATCACCATTGCCATTCCTCCTCACAACGACACTGATGTCTATGCTCACGACATTGGTTTGATTGCCATCAAGGGCGCCGATGGCCACCTCGAAGGCTTCAACGTTCTGGCTGGTGGTGGTATGGGTACTACTCACAACAACACCAAGACCTACCCCCAGACTGGTCGTATGTTCGGATACATCCCTGCCGACAAGGTCCACCTCGCATGTGAGAAGATCATGCTCGTGCAGCGCGACAATGGTGACCGCAAGAACCGCAAGCACGCCCGTATGAAGTACACCATCGACGACATGGGTGTTGAGACTTTCCGAGGCGAGGTCGAGAAGCTTCTTCCCGACGGCCTCAAGTTTGGCGAACCCCGTCCCTTCGAGTTCAAGTCCAACGTCGACACCTTCGGCTGGATTAAGGATGATACTGGTCTCAACCACTTCACCTTCTTCATTGAGAACGGTCGTATTGAGGATTCTGCTGATTTCAAGATGCGCACTGGTCTTCGCGAGCTTGCTGAGATGGGCAAGGGCGAGTTCCGTCTCACCGGTAACCAACACCTCATGATCTCTCGCATCGCCGACGAAGACCTCCCTGCTATTAAGGAGCACATGGCCAAGTACAAGCTTGACAACACTGCTTTCTCTGGCTTGCGTCTGTCTTCCTCTGCCTGTGTTGCCTTCCCTACCTGCGGTCTGGCTATGGCAGAGTCTGAGCGTTACCTCCCCGTTCTGATCTCTAAGCTCGAGTCCACCCTTGAGGAGTGCGGTCTTGCTCGTGACAGCATTGTCATGCGCATGACTGGTTGCCCCAACGGTTGTGCTCGTCCCTGGCTCGCCGAGGTTGCCTTTGTCGGAAAGGCCTTCGGCGCATACAACATGTACCTGGGCGGTGGCTACCACGGCCAGCGCCTCAACAAGCGCTACCGCTCCTCCATCAAGGAGGATGAGATCCTTGACATTATGAAGGGCCTGCTCAAGCGCTACTCTCTCGAGCGTGATACCGACGGCGAGACCCCCGAGCGTTTCGGTGATTGGTGTATCCGCGCTGGTGTCATCAAGGCCACCACTGATGGACAGAACTTCCACGATGGCGTAAGTGATTCCTTCTATGATATCCATACTATTGATTCTAATAAATTTCTACAGGTTGCCGAAGACGAGGAAGAAGAAGAGTAAATGCTGAACACAGCAGTTACACATATTTCGGATTTTTTATGACTCTCATGGGATCTAAAATTTGCTTTCTCACCCTTCTAATTGTTGGATATTCTCACGTCTGTATCTCACGTCGCAATGCATTGATGCCTTGGCGATTGTATGATTCCATGCAAAAATGTTAGATCTCGTTTTGTTTTTCTCGTTTATTCCCTTTCTTCATGTGAATTTCAATGACAGCTGAAGTCTGCTCGTACATATATACTCGAATGATATCATTTTCCAATCTCTTGAAGATCACCGTAAATTTACCTAAACATTCCTCTTAACCCTCTGGACATCAAAAAGGTGGCATAACCCCAACCGTGGAATTAAGTCAGGGGGGGCGTTGGTGACCTTGGGCAGCCTCCAGGGCTGATGCAGGGTTGACATCACCGGTGCCTCTTTGGTCTCAACCTTCAAAGCTTCAATGTTGACTTGACTTTGTCACTTCTTCCAACACTTTCGTTAACGTCTATTTCAACTTAAATCGTTGTCAATGATGAATGTGAATTCGATTCTATCAGCGCCTTTTGCGCCACTGCTCTATCTACGCCCTCGGTTTCGTCAAGACCAGGACTGGTCATATCGACAAGCACTGGCAAACACTTTCATGAAAGTTTTTCTACGCATTTTCGTGGCATTTCGGACAAAACCACCACTTTCTCTCAAGCCAGGTCTAGATGGAGACCGCTTCGTTGTAATCGAGCCTGGAGCACCAGAGTTCTACACCAGCATCACAGTAGACGACGAGATCCAGCCAGTCGCTGTAGGAGGCACCTGGTTCCCATCACTCTACCAATACAACACAACAACCACCCAAGACAAGCACGTCGTGCTCCACTTCCACGGCGGCTCTTACATCCTTGGCGACGGCCGCACATCGTCTTGCAAGTTCCTAGCCAACAGTCTGCTACAGCACACACCAATAAGCCATGTCTTCAGCCTACAGTACCGTCTAGCCTGCAACCCCAACGGTCGTTTCCCCGCCCAACTCCAAGACGCCATCTCCGCCTACTCATATCTACTCCACACGCTACACATCCCGGCATCTCGCATCGTTTTCAGTGGAGACAGCGCAGGTGGCCACCTCTCCCTCGCACTCCTGCGTTACATCACCGACTATGATGACGAGACCCTCCTCCCCCCGCCCACATGCTCGTGGCTTTTCTCGCCCTGGTGCGATATCCCCGGTTCTCGCAACAAGCATCTCTGGGATAATATTCCCAATGTACGGACAGACTATATCCCACCCTCATTCCCCGCGTGGGGCGCGAAGCATTTGATCGGTAAACTACAGATCACTAGCGAGTTCGAGCCGTATCTTGCGCCGATTTGGCATCCCTTTGTTCTGCCTTCGCCTGTTTTGATTGTTTCCGGGGGCAGAGAGGTTATGTGTCAGGAACATGATCGGTTGTCGAGGCACTTAAGTAAAATGCAGCAGAATGAAGGCCGAGTGGAGTATTTTGTGCAGGATCACTTGCCGCATGATATACTCATGGTTGCTTGGATTCTGAACTTTCGAAAAGAGGCTGATCAGTGCGCTGTTAAAGCTGGGGTGTTCTTGACGAGGATGCAGGCTCAGTCGGAGGAGGATGGTACTGATGTCCCTTCTGTGGCATTTGAGTCACGATGATGTTTCCATGTATGCCCTTTGGGTGTACCATATTGCTACTTATGTATTGCTATTTGAGCTGAACTTTTGAAATCTCTTGACTCTCCTGACTGAACGACTGCTGTTTAGAATCTCTATGGATTCTCCTGGGTTTATTAGAAATGCCCCTTAGTAGACATTTCCATCATCTTATCTCTACTTTTTTTTTCATCTCGACATTTGTTTGGTCAAAATAACCAGAAAATACCGCCTTCCCTAAAGCCCTTTTCAAATGGCAGTGGTTTGTTTGTCAGTGACCAGGCAGTCTCCAACTTCTTCAGACATGAACCCCCCTCAATTTTCCTTTTCTCTTTCAATCTCTTCTCTCTCCTCAAAGCAAAATCCTGTACCCATCGCAACCTACGACCTCCACCGAGGCTCCTATTCTCGATACTATGATATTTAACTCAACGTGATCTCCTATAAAATCGTTGACACTATCGACTATTGACCTTCATCGCCTCCGAACCTCAGTACTTCAGAGCGCTGACAGTACTAGTAAAGACCCAGAGAGTCCGAAGATACTCACAGCTATATCACCACCAGGCAGTCGTCTACACACCGTCGAGGTCGAAAATGGCACCCATACCAGTAATGATTCGCGAAGCAGCTTGCTTTGAGCACCAGTACGGCGTATACTGGACATACTACGGCGCGTACACGAAGATAGCGACAACTGACACGCACACTAGCTACAGCAAGCTGGCAAACATCACTCACGAGCTCCAAGAGCGGCCCTTTTTACCCGTGGTCATGGCCAGCGTTCTTTTTGCGATCATCGTGGTGGGCATCGTCGCCCTCTTTTGCTTCTGGGAAAGACACAGGTATGTGATGAATGCCCTATTTGTGATTGCGCGGGGTCACTAATTTGAGTTGGTCATGCAGGTATCCGCGGCAAACTGCATCTCCCGAGGATAAGATGAAGACGGAGGACGCTGAGTATTTGGATACGGTTGAGGAACCCCGCTCAGGTATGTTGAGACACACATACGTCTTGCTTTCCGCCCAGCTCATGATATATATATAGATGGGTGGATGTGTTTCATTCTGGCCTGCCATGCTGCCATTACCCTCGGTGGTGTCTGATGCGGAGGAACATATACAGCTGTTGGAGAACAAGGCAGTCAGGCCAATACCCCCTGTTCTCTGGTTAGCTAAAAATTCTCCGTGGGACTGCAGTTGTCTTGTGGAACTTGAAGGTAAGACTGCAAGTCTGAAGCTTGTGGTCTGAGCCTGATGTGACGATTGATTTATGAGACTGGATCGAATATGGGTTCAGGCGTTTAGGAATTGGTTTTTTTTTGTGTTTGGGAAAAATAGCCCACTCTGCACTAACCAAGTGGAGGAAGGGGTGTTCAGTCCAGGTCATTATCAACAGCAGAACATGTTAGCTCTATAACATATTTAATGTCAATGAACATCGTTCATATCGTTCAAGTAGGCGTAGGGACTATTTAGTTATAGCGTTCATATGTATTTAATGTGCCAGAACAAATAGAAAGAAAGATATTTTTCAGCAAGAGCCATGACAGACGAATGGGAAGATCAATAGATCGTATGGGAATTGAAACATTTAAGTATAAGGTGCAAGCCCTAGACGAGCGTCACACTCGCCGGTAACAGAATTCGAGACTGGGAGAAGATAGATGCAATGAGAATAGGAACTTCATCACGGGGCATGAAGATCATAGTTTGGTCGAGAACATGCTGTTCAGAGCCATGATTCTCACTGCCGAAATACGAGTCGAAGGTCAAGGTCGGACCATAGTATGCCTCATTAGATCCATCGACCGGACCCAGCTTCAACAATCTACCCTGAGAACTACCAGCATCCATGCATAGACACTTGGTATCGCAGTGTTGGCAGTGCTCCTCGTTGTCTTCGCTGGCCATGTAGTGCTCGACGGCGCGGGAAATCGCGTCGCGCTGTGCTTCAATATCGCATTCTGGGTCGGCAGACCGCTAGGACCATTCCATGCCCCCGTAGGTCCCGCTCCTCAGATTGCAGGTTTCTGGGCTGTGAAGCGTTTTAATGGTGCTTGTCGGCGATTTTGTCCATTAGACTACATAGTCTGTGACTGCAGTTGGGATTTCGGCGAGATTGTCTGGCAGCGAGTACCTCGCGATAGATGATGGCAATATGAAGGCCAGCTTGAGGTTGGCAGGCAATACGCTGCGATCATAATGCTCTTCGGCAATAACATACGGAGGCTGTTGCAAATCAATTGAGCGATAGTGAGGAAACTTGGAGATCTACCTATATCGTGAGGGTATTTATGAATCAAGTTTGGCCCCCTACGGTTGCAGGAATTTGGGATCATCATTGGACGACATTTCTTAGACTTGTACCTCTTCGTATTAAGGTGGATCCTGATCCTCCCCGATGAAATCAGGCTGAATACTCTTTATTGTAGGTGGTGTTACGAATATCCCAAACATACAGTATCACCATGTGAAATCTACTAGATCTGACTCTGGGCGATGGATCTGTTTCTTAACCCAGATACAACCCTACAAGCATACGGAGACAGAATATTTAGCCAAACAACTCTACATTGACGTGCAAATCCCAAAGAGATCTGAGAGTAGCCTAGCTGATTGTATATAAATCTTGCTCAAACCCAAATCATCTCCATCAATCGATATCGCACCAATCATCCAACCCCAAGCACCCTGACCCGCACCATGAGATCCTCCTTTTGAGGATTCGTCGTGAGGCGCATTGGATCACGTTGGCCTCTTGGTGTATCATTTCTCACATGATTGCAACCGACATTATGCAAATTCATAGATCCCGGTTGCACTTATAAGGTAAGGTTGAGAAGTCCCTCCCTGGTTGGTTGGTCATTGCGACCGCTTCAATGGTGACCGATAAGGTCCCGATGGGACGAATCCGCTGCCCGCTCCGGGCGGCCCTGACGTCCCTGGTTCGTTGCGACTACCCCATTCGGGGGCATTTCTTCGTCGACTGGTGTATCGTTGGTTGCCCTAATCTAAGGGAACCGTGTAATGGTGACCGATAAGGTCCCTGGTTCGTTGCGACTACCCCATTCGGGGGCATTTCTTCGTCGACTGGTGTATTGCTGGTTGCCTTAACAAAAAGGAACCGCGAGTGTCTGGACTTAAACTGTTACAGACGTCTTGTTGGCACGAGCGATTCAGATGCACTCAAGTCATGGAAGCGGGTTGGTGTGAGGATGAACGAATGGGTTGACGACAATCGATGGAAAACAGTGAGGTTTGAGCAAGGGGTGCGTCTCTCACGCTAGGAAGGCATCGAGGTGGAATTGGCGTGCTCGATGATAGCGGAGGCTAGAAGAGCCTCGACGCCAGGGGAGAGTGCTTGGTTATGAGAGGGAAGATAGCATGGTAGCTCTCTCAGCACAACTCGATGATCCTCAAGAAGAAAAAAAAAAAGAAAAAAGGGGGAACCGGCGCGATGGAAATTTAAACCAGCTCGGAACCGGTGAGTACGTAATGGCGGTGAAGCGATAGCAGTGTTTCTGCCACATCCCCGCCGATGAATTTCGATAAAAAAAAAGTTATCAGTCCGAGTGGTTCATCTTGCGGCAATTATTGCTACTTACCTCTTTTTCTATCGCTCATTGCTCATATAAGATACTTCTTCACCTTATCGCAATGACCTTTTCCGACGACGATCCTGTCGTCGCCTCTTACGACGTCCTCCTCACTGATTCGGATGTTTCTCGCTATGTCTTCCAATACGTTGATCGAGAGCACGACCGTCCCTACAATGACCAAGAAAATCAACGACCGATTCAACTTCGACTTAAACCGCGCACTGGCCTTATTGAAGTTGAAGTCCCCATCAGCACCCGAGAAAACTACGACGTTAACAAGGGAATGCGCTACGGTGATGCGGTGAAGAAGAGTCGTTCCGCGCGCGACGGAGGTGCTTATGGTATGGCAGGCGGATTCACTGCTGGTAGCGGAACTGCAGCTGCAGGGGGAAGAGTCAAGATGGAAGCGAATGGGGATGTGGAGATATTGGATAATAAGAGGGCCGTGGATTCTGCATCATTGATGCGAGTGCAGTCACTCGGAGGTCGGATAAAGCCTTCTGAAGAAGGCGATCCAGTTTACATGCTGGCTACCTTCACAGATAGTACGTTGATTCTACTTGATCGCTTTCTTTTCTGGTGGCAACGTCCAATCCTAACACCTGTTCTTAGAAAACTTGCATCTCTCACCTGTCACATCGGTTGTCCAATTCCACCCTCAACTTCACCACCTCGATGCTTTAGATGAGATGCCAAAAGGGAAAGGCTCACGTGCTAAAAAGGATGACGATGACCGTCCTACCGAGAGTGAAGCACGTGCGATTGATATTAAAGTCAAGGCCGCTGAAGATGGCGAAGCGGCTGCAAACGCTGGCAATCTAGACCTTCTTAAGCAAATGCAAGATGAGAAATGGAAAACATTCGGCTGGGTTGATGCCGAGGTATGTTCTCTCTTTGGACCTTCTTGATTCGTGTTTCCCACTAACCCTTACCGATTCCAGGCCGAGGATTCTTGGTACACATATGAGAGCTATATGATTCACAAGGATACCGAAAATCTCCCGTCTCTAGAATCAAACATCGAATCGGAAGACTACCTCGATAAAATGAGCGCCCCTAGGATCGACCCTGCCCGCCCCGACATGACTGGTTGGGCTATGAAGGAAAATCGCCGGAGGCAAAGAGACGCTCAAGCAGGGAACGAGGCTCAATAGCGAGGGGTTATATTGTACAATAATCCAAACGGTCAATTTCTAGCAGACGCTTATCATAATGTTTAGAAGTCTTCAAACCCATTAAGGACAAAATCACATCTACTTCAGTTTAGTTTAACAAGGAACATGCAAAAGGTCTACAACTATACTGAAGCCTCGCCACTCATACTTGTCCGCCAATCACGATAAGAGAACGGATATGATCACGTGACTATTCGGTTTTTCTGCCATCTCCGTTTCATCGCGACAGGTCCGATAAATCTCCCTTTTTCTCTCGTTGCCTTCGTGTTTTTTTTTTTCCGTTTCCCTCTTTTTTTCAGTTCGGTTGACGGTTGCAGCACAGCTGTCAACGCGACTATTATCCCTCTTCTATAGCGGAACAATTGCATTGGTCGAACTAAACATCCATCATCACGGTGTTCTGTTTTTCTGATCATCATCGTTGAAAGTCTGCATCTATCTTATAATTTACCCTTAATATCTTTTACTTTTGGAGTCATTTTTTCTTATCCGCGTTAAACCTTCAACCTGCGATTCCCAACCCCCAAAAACGCCGATTTCATGCACCATGTTATCACGCGTGGCTTGTCAAAAAAATGCTTTCCTTCACTTGCGGAGGACGCCGGCCTTCCGAGCATCGTTCCATTTGCCGACAACACGTTTTTATTCAAGTAATCGAAACCCACTCTTGAATCTGTCGGGCAATTCGATTCACGATCGCCCGCGCAATCCGTCTCCACAATCAGAACGCCATCTTGCTACAGCCGCCGACCACTCCAGCATCGATGGGCATTCGCCCGAGACTTACGATCACTTTATGAGCATGCCCTTTGACAGCTTTGATACATCATCCCTGATCATCCTCGACTCAACGCCACAATCGCAATCAAAAATTTTCCGCAGGAGGCATGGCGTCGGCGGTGATGAAACGGAGATGAAGGCGAATCTAGAGCTCTCATTGAAAATTGGAGAGTTTGAGCGAGCCTCTGCGTTGATTAATCGCCTGGGCCATTATCATCCGCCTGGCTCGGATGAGTATCTCGTTATTCATAACCGTTTCATGAGAGATATGGTGGCGTATATGATCCTCCACCGAGAGCAAGACATGGTTCTGCCGTTGCAGAAATGGTTCGAAGTTGATATGCCTTCCGGTGGCGTGACGCCGGATGCAATCAGTTTCGCGATTATGATTCGAATGGCGCTGCGTATGCTCCATGGGTCGAAGCGTGACAGAACTGTTCGTCGATACTGGGAACTTGCCCAAAACGCAGGCTTGGAGGAAGAGCTTGTCGGCATTGAGGTTCTTGAGGACTCTGATGTTGGTGAGCTGTCTAAGGTGAGCTTACACTTCCAGCCTGTAATTTGAAATCATGCTTATGTTCCCAATCTAGATTTGCTCCTCTGACATGCTGGACCTGGTCTCGAAATATATGGAATTCCCCGAAACTACTGAAGTGCCTTCCGCCGCCGTCGATAATACACCCCAAGTGCAAGCTGCCGACCAAAAGGGATTGGGACTGGCATCCCTGAAACAGTCCCTCTCTCTCTTCTCTGGCAATATCGATGTACGTTTGCCCGAAAATTTCACAGGCACCGAGGAGGAAGGAAAGCAACTGCTTTCAGATTTGAGACAAAAACGACTTGAAATGGACAGTCTCGATTCGGCGCTCTGGCGTTGGCGAGAAGATAATGCTGAGAGACAAAAATCTGGGCTAAATGTCGCTTCGGATGAGAAAAGGCTGAACGGAATCATGAGCCAATGGCACACAGACCTTGTGGCAAGAATCAAGAAGGAGTTGGTGCTCGTTAAAGAGGCACTTGGAGCCCGTATCGTAAATATTGAGCAAAAAGAGCGCTGTGAATATGGTGTGTTTTTGCAGGCCCTCGATCCCGACCGGTTAGCTGCACTCACTCTTTTGTCTGTGATGTCTACTTTCAGTCGCCAGGGGATGGACAAGGGACTCAAACTTTCCATCCTCGCTTCAGTAGTTGGGAAAGAGTTGCAGGATGAACTCATTGCCGACACCTACCTGAAAAGGAACAAGTCTATGGATCCGAGTCGTCTCAAGGCACTGAAGCAGACTCTCGCAAACCGCAAAGACAAACAAGGCCGACTTCGATGGCGCTCACTCGTTGAAAAGATCAATGCAGAACATGAATCAGTCGTCTGGGGTTCTCGCTCACAGGTCAAAATCGGTGCTGTCTTGATGAGCATGTTAGTCGAAGTTTCGAAAGCCCCTGTTTGGACCGAGGATCCCGCCACCAAGAAAAGGATTCTCACTATGCAACCAGCCTTCGACCATTCTTATCAGATCAACTTCGGGAAACGATCTGGTCATATCCACATGAATACTAAACTTGTGGAGATTGTTGCCAGAGAGCCACCCGCTGAGCTGTTGGCCCGCCACCTCCCCATGGTTTGCAAGCCTAGACCATGGACAGGCGCAAGATCTGGCGGGTATAAGATTTACGAGTCCGCCCTAGTGCGCACTACTCCCGGTGAACTACTACAACCAGCCTACCTCAAAGCTGTCTTGAAAGATGATGGATTGAAAGAGATCCGAGCAGGCCTTGATGTTCTCGGTGCCACTGGGTGGAAGATCAATGAACAAGTTTTTAACGTGATGCTCGAGGCTTGGAATGGCGGGAAAGCTGTGGGAAAGCTCGCCCCCTTGAATCCAGACCTGCAGATGCCAAAACAACCAAACCCAGAGGCCGACTACGCAACCCAAAAGGAGTGGCACAGCAAGGTTCGTGAAATCGAAAATCTTCGCTCTGGATTTCATTCTGTTCGATGCTTCCAGAACTTTCAGCTCGAGGTAGCGCGAGCCTTCCGGAAGGAGGTCTTTTATCTGCCCCATAATATGGATTTCCGCGGGAGAGCTTATCCACTCCCTCCTTACATGAACCAGATGGGGGCTGATAATTCAAGAGGGTTGCTTCTTTTCGATAAGGGCAAGGCACTTGGGGTATCTGGCATGCGCTGGTTGAAAATTCAGATTGCAAACTTGTTTGGATTTGATAAAGCGAGCATGTCTGAACGGGAGCAATTCACAATGGACAATTTGGATGATGTTCTCGACTCTGCCAACGCAGGACTCCATGGACGACGGTGGTGGCTCCAGGCTGAGGATCCATGGCAGCTTTTGGCAGCGTGTTGCGAACTCCGCAACGCCTTGCAGCTCTCCGAGCCCACGGAATATATCTCCCACCTCCCGATTCACCAAGATGGCTCTTGCAATGGACTTCAACATTATGCCGCTCTGGGTGGTGACCGTGTCGGCGCCCAGCAAGTTAATCTTGAACCATCTGATCGCCCTTCAGACGTATATACCGGTGTGTGCGAATTTGTTAAGGAGGCCATTGCGCAGGAAGCAGCCGATGGCAATGAATTGGCTCAGCGTCTCGACGGCAGAGTCACCAGAAAGATTGTAAAGCAGACAGTCATGACTAATGTCTACGGCGTGACCTTTTTGGGGGCGACGAGACAGGTCAAAAGGCAGCTTATCGACTATCTCCCTGATCTTAGCAACACAGAAAGGAACAGCGCGGCCTTCTACATTGCAACAAAGATCTTTGGCGCTCTCGGATCCATGTTTAACGGAGCCCATGAGATCCAGTACTGGCTTGGCGATTGTGCCCAACGCATTACACAGTCTGTGACACCGGAGCAAATTGAGGAGCTCACGCAAGCAGCACTAGTACCCAAGGATGAACGCGACAATGATTTTGCGACATCCACTGACCCAGAGAAATCCTTCACATCGACTGTGATTTGGACGACCCCACTGGGTCTCCCAGTGGTCCAGCCATATCGCACTCGCAAGACGCGGCGTGTTCAGACTAGTCTACAAGACATCAGTCTCGTTGACCCTGGCTCTGATGATGTTGTTTCAAAGCGCAAGCAGCTTCAGGCCTTCCCACCGAACTTCATCCACTCTCTTGATGCCACACACATGATCATGTCCGCCAATGCATGCCATGAAGCGGGCTTGGCCTTTTCCGCTGTCCATGATTCATTCTGGACTCATGCTGCCGATATCGATCAGATGAACCTCATCCTTCGAGATGCCTTCGTTCGCATGCATTCGGATGATGTTGTCGGGCGCCTCGGCGCTGAATTCAAAGTGCGATATGGCAAGAATATATTCCTAGCTAGAATTTCCCGCCTCAGCCCCTTGGGTCGGGAGATCTCCAATTACCGCCTCCGCACTAGGGTTAGCAAACTCCAAGAGTTGATCAACGAACATCGACGGCAGACTCTACTCAACTCGGATGATCCGGAAGATCAGGCCGAGGGTCGTGCTATGGTGACACCTTGCAGTCTCTTTGAATCATTGGGGGGTACAGACTCTGACCTAACTACCTATAAAACGATGGGTACGCACGCGATCGGGCACATTCCAGAAGCTATTCCAGATCAGGAACGGATGCCGATAGGATGTTCAATCGACACCAACGATCCGGCTATTGAGAGCCTGATCGGCGACCTCGAGATGTTTGAGTCGAAGCAGGTATCCCGTGGTGAGACGTCCAAGGTAGAGGATGATATCCATGGTGAACCTTCTGATCAGACCGAACAACCCCAAAGCTCTGCGCGGCCAGATAAGAGCAAGCCGCGCAACTTGACCACGTGGTTATGGATGCCTCTAAACTTCCGCCCCGTGCCCAAAAAGGGCGACTGGGATCTGACCCGAATTCGTGAGAGTGAATACTTCTTCTCATGATGCTCTCATCTGGGAATTACTGCATTTAGCTGGCGTTTATGCATACTTTCACATCTTTCTTTAGCCATGTCCGAAGTGCTGTGGAAGAGTAACTTCTGACTTCTTAATTTCCTGTATATTTTCTGCCCGATTTATTTTCCGGGCTTCATTGGTTGCATCTGTACATTACACATGGGAGAGAAAACAGTATATACTACCTGTATGAATATGATATCAAACTTCTAGAATTACCCACCTACCCTCTCTGCCTTTGACTCATCCCAACTCTATATATGGAAGTAAATACCCGGAGAACTCCCCAAGTACATTTAGGCAAAATTCAAAAGCTAAAAGCACGGATCTAGCCGACTTACTAATGCCTAAATCTCCCTATGAATAAGTGTATAATGCGCAATACCTGGGCTTCCAAAGCCGGAGGAATATCAGAATAGTCGGGCCACATATAATTTAGATTGTACCCTGCACCCCATAAGCCCGGTCTGCATAAGGAGTATATCCGGAGCCCCTGTACGGAGTATGGAGTACCTTAATATGCTTTGTCCTCTCAATCCCCCAGTGCCAAGACCGGGGTATGTGACCATGGTCAGATGAGGGGTTCAGGTCCAAAATCACATTTATGTTGTAGTCTCGTAACATGTTTACGTATGCTCATTCTAATTTTTCTAAGGCTGGAATACAGAGACAGCAGTGTTTGTTGTAGTTGTGTATGACTAGGAAGTTGTTCAGGATGAAATGTGGGGAATACGGATATAAGCGAAGGACGAAAAGGGACTCTACAGTTTTATTGAAATAAACGCGGTCTAAGGAGGTAGAAACATGTTGTATCAATTGTTTAATTGATTTAGATAGAAGAGAAAGAAAGAGAGAGAGAGAGAGAGAGAGAGAGAGAGAGAGAGAGCTACATCCTATACAACATATACCACACACCGTGACATATCATCGCACCACGTGCCGTTCCCCCGCCTTTACATGACAACTTCCCCAGATCTTCTATTCTGATCTCCTGATCTTCATATTTCTGATCTTCCCGTTTTTTTGTTGATTGTTTGTGGATTGTCTAATATCTCTGATATCTCTGATCCCTTACCTTTAACCTTTCGATCTGTGCGAAAACCAAGCTTTGGGCTGCGCCGAGGGGAGAAAAGAAAGTCCCGAGGTCGCCTCTCCGTTCTTTCTGCATCTTTCTGCAATGCCGTTGTGACTTTTTGGTCACTCTAGATACTATTTTTGACTCAATCTTTTTGTATCTGATAGACTAGAGAATCTAGATCCCATTGATCTATCCCTCTATGTCGCCATAGCCCTGTTTCCGCCTCCTCGGAGAAGCATGTCGATGACCTCCCTCTCCTCTGCCAATTCTTACTCTCCATTTTCGTCTCAAGCCGAACGGATGACACAATCTCAAACCCCCGGGCTGGACACGCTTGCGGAAGGGTCGCAGTATGCGCTGGAACAGCTCCAGTTAGCACGTGAAGCTAATGCTGCCGACATCCCGACCGATCCTAGTAACACGAAGACGTCGCAACATTCCCACCATATCCTCTATGGCGAACAAAACAGTTCTAATTCAGGTCTGAAGGATCCTGAATTGCGCGATTCCCTTGCTGAGGCGCGCTCCGCTATTCGCAAAAACTCATCCGCCACTCCAGCCCGTCGGAGAATTAGCCGAGCCTGCGACCAGTGCAACCAATTACGAACCAAATGTGATGGACATAACCCTTGTGCGCATTGTGTCGGTACGGTTTTTCTTCCAGCGGACCCTCTCCATTTGCGCATTGGTTGAACTAACAGTCCCTAGAGTTTGGACTCAGCTGCGAGTACGCCCGCGAGCGCAAGAAGCGTGGGAAAGCGTCGAAAAAGGATATAGCCGCGACTGGAATTGCCGATAGTGACATGGGTGGCAACGAAAACATAACGCATGTCAAAGGGCAGCCCTCAAACGGACAGTCTTTACACGAATCCAACGAACATTACGATCGCGCCTTTGACGCCGCGCGGACTCTAACTGAAGGTGCACAATCTCGGTCGCATAACGCGGATGTGGCTAGCTTATCTGCCATGCGCCAAAACCAAGCGCCTGTTCAAGCACCTTCTCAGCAGCAGATGAATTCCAATATGGCGGGCATGCCATTCAATAATTACGCAGCACTCCAAGAATCCCACCGACCCTCGATGTCCGTGTCAGATATGCGCTCTATACAGATGATGCAAAACTCAAATGGAAACCCTCGGTCGCCGGGTTCAATGCTTCAACATCAAGCGTTTGCGGGGTATAATGATGGCGCATATCCTTTGATGAATGCGCAAGACGCAAATACGAGCTCTATGAACCACTTCCGCATTGGAAACTCGACGGAGAACCCATCGGCTTCTTTTATGGGCTTCTCTCCTCCAGCGCAGTCACCTAGCTGGTTGCCACTTCCTTCCCCATCACCCGCAAACTTCCCTTCCTTCAGCATGCCCCCTTTCTCCAGCTCATTGAGATACCCGGTCTTGCAACCAGTTCTTCCGCACATTATGTCTATAATCCCTCAATCTCTCGCCTGCGATCTCCTCGACGTCTATTTCACTAGCTCATCATCCTCACATCTTTCTCCGTCATCGCCTTATGTGGTTGGCTATGTCTTCCGCAAACAATCGTTCCTACATCCTACAAAGCCGCGATCGTGCACCCCTGGACTTCTCGCCAGTATGCTGTGGGTCGCAGCTCAAACAAGTGAAGCTGCATTTTTGACATCACCCCCTTCAGCTCGAGGCCGAGTCTGCCAAAAGCTTTTGGAGTTGACTATTGGCCTACTCCGGCCACTTATACATGGTCCTGCCACTGGAGAAGCGTCTCCTAATTATCCAGCTAATATGGTAATCAATGGGGTGGCTCTCGGTGGCTTTGGGGTCTCCATGGATCAATTGGGTGCTCAAAGTAGTGCCACTGGCGCAGTGGATGACGTCGCTACGTATGTTCACCTGGCGACCGTCGTCTCTGCTAGCGAATATAAGGCTGCGAGTATGCGATGGTGGACAGCTGCCTGGTCTCTCGCGCGAGAGCTGAAACTTGGCCGCGAATTACCGCCTAATGCGACCACCCGTCAAGACGGCGAAATGGATGGTGAGGGGGATATTGATGTGAATGGCAACAAGAGGCAACCGTCCTCTTTACTAGGCCACGGTCCAGGCAACTCTGTGATTAATCTCACAGAGGAAGAACGCGAGGAGCGCCGGCGGATCTGGTGGCTATTATATGCGACAGATCGCCATCTGGCGCTTTGTTACAACCGACCGTTGACATTGCTGGATAAAGAGTGCGAAGGGCTGTTGCAGCCGATGAATGATGATATCTGGCAGGCGGGCGACTTTTCATCTATCAACTACCGCCGTGCTGGCCCAGCATCTGAATGCACTGGCCATAGCATGTTCGGATATTTCTTACCCCTGATGTCTATCCTGGGTGAAATTGTAGATCTGCAACATGCTCGCAATCACCCGCGATTCGGTCTTCATTTCCGTAACAGCGGTGAGTGGGAAAGTCAGGCCATGGAAATCAGCCGGCAGCTCGATGTCTACGCCCAGAGCCTGAAAGAATTTGAGGCTCGATATACCAGCTCTATCGCCCTCGGGACCGGTGAGCCTGACACAGCCATGGAAGGTTCCAATATCAACCACGTCAGTCCGTCTGGTCGGTCAAGTAGCACAGTAGGATCGCATGTGAGCGAGTCCATTGTTCATACAAGGATGGTGGTTGCCTATGGCACTCACATTATGCATGTGCTCCACATTCTGCTGGCTGGAAAGTGGGACCCTATAAACCTGCTCGACGATAACGATCTCTGGATCTCTTCCGAGTCATTTATCACTGCAATGGGCCATGCAGTCAGCTCTGCTGAGGCGGCCTCGGACATTTTGGAATACGACCCCGATTTAAGCTTCATGCCCTTCTTTTTTGGCATATATCTTTTGCAAGGTAGTTTCTTGCTACTCTTGACTGCGGATAAGCTGCAAGGAGATGCCAGTCCCAGTGTTGTTCGGGCCTGTGAAACAATCGTACGAGCGCATGAGGCCTGCGTGGTGACTTTGAACACTGAATATCAGGTAAGATTTACTCGTGACCAAGGCTTATATTTGCAGAAGCTAATATCCCGCAGAGAACGTTCCGAAAAGTGATGCGCTCGGCGCTAGCTCAAGTCCGCGGCCGTGTCCCAGAGGATTACGGTGAGCAGCAGTCACGCAGGCGTGAGGTGCTAGCCCTTTACCGCTGGAGCGGCGATGGCAGCGGCCTCGCTCTTTAGCAGGACTACCGAGTATATGCTGAGGTTCTTCCCGCTGCCACTTGCTTTGGATTGATTACCATTCTCCTTGTCATTGATTTTGATTCGATCTGCGTCCTGTATACTATTTTTCCCGGATTTTGGACATACCCCGAGGAGCGAAAAGGCGCACAATTTCTTGGTATACATTGACTCGCTACATACCATACCTACTTAAATATTGATTTTGGAAATATCCTTCAGGTCGAACGTATTTCTTTTCTTTTCTATATTCCCTACAAGGGCTCCGAGCTCTTTGCTGAATGGTTCATCCAATTTCACCAGATCAATGCCCATAGTATTGAGCCATACGAGCTTCTTAATTTCTATCTTATATACATGTAGTATTTTCTATTTTTTTTTTGTACTATTCTTTAGTTCTTCAGTTCTTCGATGCTTCAGTATAAAAGTGGAATTTGCATCATGTGATGATGCTTATTTCGGACTCCACCCAAGCTCCGATCCCCTTCAGCTACACCTCTTCAACCTCAACCACCATCTATCCCAATAAATGACGGCACTCGAGATTACAAGACCAACAAAATGAAACCTTATATAGGCATCCCTCTTGTGGTTGGACTCGTCTATCGAGCTTGGTCGCGCAAATCCCTTACCCCGCTCGGGTTGGTAGTTGCGGGATGTTCAGCCTCCGCACACGCTCTCCATCCATGGTCGGCACCAGTCGCGCTCCTTGCAGTATTCTATTTTGGCGGCACTAAGGTCACAAAGGTATGGAGCTACTCATATCTCGAGCGAAGCTGCATGTTGTTCATTTTTCAACCTACAACTATCTTATGGGCGCAGCTTACAAGACCGCGATGATAGGTAAAACATGAGGTCAAGTCGCGTTTGACACTCTCCGCAACCGGTGCGGAAGGTGGGGAAGGCCCCCGGAACCATATTCAAGTCCTGGCGAACTCTGTTGTCGCTACCATATTGTCGATCGCTCATGCGATTATCCTGGCCAAAACAGCAGGCCCTGAATCGTGTTTCTCACTCGGTCAGAATGCGGCTGATATCTTAATTGTTGGGATTGTAGCGTATGTCACTCAATCTCAGATTCTATGTCTGCAATCTCTGTTCTAGAGCATATAACTAATATGTTCCTCTTCGCAGAAACTACGCCGCTGTCGCTGCAGACACCTTTTCCTCCGAGCTCGGCATTCTCTCGAAATCCAAACCCCGCCTGATCACCTCCTTGAATCTCCGTCACGTCCCTCCCGGTACAAATGGTGGTGTTACTGCGACTGGTCTTGGCGCTGGTCTTCTGGGATCGTTCATTGTCGCCGCGACATCTACTGCGGTTCTTCCGTTCTGCGCTAATGCCGGGTTGAAGGATCGAGCTCTGTGGACCATAGCTATGACTCTTTGGGGTGCATTAGGCAGTGTCCTTGACAGCGTTCTTGGTGGACTTTTGCAGGCCAGTGTTGTCGATAAGAGGAGCGGGAAGGTTGTAGAGGGGAGTGGTGGCAGGAAGGTGAGTTCACGATTATGTGTCCTTGGCCACTGCGTACAAAGCTCTAATCCAGTTCTATAGGTTCTCATTCACCCTTCCACGGGTAAGCCGGTTCTCCCTGCTGGTAGCACTGCCAAAACCACCGGTAGCATACATAACGCTGCATTGCGTGGCATCCAGGTGGCACACATACCCGAGGAAAGTCAGGAAAGTCGTCGTCTTGAAACTGGCCATGACTGGCTAGACAACAATGGCGTCAATCTCCTCATGGCTGCGACTATGAGTGTCGGGGCAATGGGTATTGCACAGTGGTTCTGGGGGTTGGATGTGTTCGAGTTGCTGGTATAAATTTTGCAGGTATTCTTCAGTCTGGTAGAATATCGAACTAATCCAGGTCTCGAACATGCTTTATCTGGCTGTTTATTTTTCGAACTGGTTTAGATGAAAATGATGACGAATATATGTCTTTTATCTCTCTTGGTCTTTTGAATTTCTTTGCTTTGAGAAGGCGTGGTCTAGCTTTTTGTTTGTCTCAGGTCCCAACTCATCAGCTTCCCACTTTTCCTCTTCGACTAAATCAGTATTTGTCCTTGTTTTTTTTTCTCTCTCTTCCACTTCTCTCTTTTTCCAGTGTTCCCTTCGCATCTCAACAACAGCACCGGTTTAATCAGGCACAGCCAACGCGACCTTGGCCCAACCGACACGATTCATCACGTGTCACCGTTGGCCCTAGTCCGTGAGTCCTTCTACGTATCACACGTGCCGAATGTCCCTGAGCTCCATCTCGGAGTCAGAGAACTGACAAACACCAGCCTTGGCATAATTTGGACCAACAGAGCACGCCGGACAAGATGGCAACTGAAGAAGAACGCGGAATGCACGTGCGAGTCACAAAGCCAAGCGTCTCTTTCCTACCCGAGACCGAAACATCGAAGACCATAACATACGACCTCCATCACAGTGACTTGCTTCCTGTGTATGACTACATCTCCCAGGAATATCTGATGACTGGCATCGCCGTTGCCAACTCGTACTGCACACGCCTTCTTCTTCGTCGCCCTGCGGATCCTAGCAGATTTTCCGGTCTTGTTATCGCGGAACCGTCTCACCTATGGGGTGGAACAACCATCTGGCGTCTCATTAATCGGTGGGTGATGCGTAATGGTGAGTTGTCATGCATTCTAGTGTGAGGCATTGTCTGAGCTAATAGTCAAAGGCCATGCCTGGCTGGAAGTTGATTCGCAGGCTCCCGCGGCAATTGACCAGATCAAAAACGTTGATCCCGAACGCTACAAAGACATGCACTTTATCCCCTGTCGGACCCTGGAGGAGTTTTCTAGCAACATCCCCGGCTTCGCTAACACAGAAGAGTTGTGGGATAACTACAGGATCTTCAAGGAAAGATGGTGGGCCGCAACTCTACAGTCTCCGGAGATTCTTGTTGCTGCATCACATGCCTTGAGATTGGGAGAGCTGAATATCAAGGCCGAACGTGTTATACTTACTGGTCTTTCCCAGACTGCAGACTTGATAAGAAAGTTCATCGTCGAGTCTACTCATCTCCGACTTCCCGATGGAGGCGCCCCATTTGAGGGATTCATGCCATGCCAATGTGATGGCGGCAACCCACTTCCAGACTTGCGCGATGCAAAGATCATTGAGATTCTAGGTGAATTCGAACTCATTTATATCAAGGCACTCTATGGCGGAAGTGAGATGCCTCCCCATCGTCGTGCTGATAGCAGGTCATTTCGGCTCTACGAAGTTGCCGGTATGTCTCATCGTGAGACTCGATACCTCTCCATGGCTGATAAGAAGCGTTTGTCGTTCGTTGATCTGGAAGGTGCTCAATGGAGCACTTTTGCCAATTCCTTCGTTTACCATGCTCTCTTCGATACTATGAACAAATGGATTACGACCGGTGTTGCTCCCCCGCGTGGTACCACAATTGATATCGACGCATTCGGGGATATCGAGCGAGATGAGTATGGAAATGCACTTGCTGGGGTCAGAACTGTTCACACAGACGTGCCTACTGCCAAAATCATCGATGTTACTCCTCAGCCACGTCCGCATTGGCATACTGGTAAGTTGCTCATGACGGCGATAAAAAGAAAATTTCGATTGTTCTAACCTAGTTGTTATTGAAAGGCACCGAGGTCCCTTTCAAAGATGTCAAACTGTGGGCTATCTACAAAACGGTAGCCAACTATCGACGTCAGGCGGGAGAAGCTATCCAGCGACAGATTGAAGTCGGTTTTTTGTTGCCAGAAGACGCTGAGGTCCTGCGTCGCGACACCATTGAGCAAGTCTCTTTTTAAATTGACATACTACGATGTTGCTTGTTTCTCGCTATGGATTTGTGGGTTTTGCCTAGACCTTGGGGGCCTGAGGTCTCTTAGGGACAGACAGGCAAGCTTTGTGTACCTCGGGATGCCCTTGGTTATGTTAGATTAGATCTGAGACCAACTCTTCTCTCTAGGAGTTCAATATCTTTAGTTAAGATCGGTTGAATATCTACTTTCATGCCAATGTAGTTCAGTTCTGCGATTTGCCAATAATGACCAATATTAAATCATTCTTCGCCCATGTATCATGTGTAAGGGCGTAGTCTATACCTTGAGACATTTTGTTAATTCGTATCTCCCTAAATATATTGTGCTAGCCCACATGCAAATCCCACTAAATGCAAAGCCTTAAGTCATTTACTTTACAGCTAGTTATATACAACTATATAGACATCCGAGCTACCGCCACTTTTATGAGGGCGCTCAGATCACAAAGTAGATGCCACAGCAAAGTATCAAAATTGACATGAGAGTTATCTACTTCGCCGCTACCACCAGCTTCTTTGCCGAAACGCCCTTCTTCAACAGATCCAGTGCCTCCTGGATTCCCTCAAGTCCAATAGTTGACACAATCTCCGGGGAAGGAGCCACCTGGTAAGTCCCCTGGGCCAGCGCTTCGGGCAAATAGCCAGTAAAAGTAGCCAGGCTAGTCTCGTGGTAGATGACAACACCCTCAGAGGCAAATATCATCTTTGCCTCAACACCCTCTGGAACCGCATCCTCAGGTACAGGGTTTGAGGCAGCCACGCGCAGAATTTGCTTAGACTTGTGTGCAACCTGACAGGACGGGCCAGGCTCACCCGCCGCTTGGAAAATACCAACGCATTTACCCTTGTCTAGCTCTGTGACGATCTGGTCAATTACATCCGCATCGGTGTAGTGAAAGACCTTGTCCGCACCGAGATCCTTGACGTACTCGGAGTTGTGGGCGGAGCATGTGGTGAGGACCTCGAAGCCGGCCGCTTTGCACAGCTGAATTGCATTACTTCCGACGCCCGAGCTGCCGCCCCAGATGAGGATGGACTTTCCTGTGCTGTTGGGGGTGGTGCTGGTCGTCGGGAACGGCAGGCCGAGATGGTTTTTGGAGAACAAGCCGTATGCGGCCGTCGCAATGCAGAGCGGGAACACGGATGCATTAGTGAAGGACATGCTCTCCGGGATCTTACATGCCATGCTGTAGTCGAGAATCACGTAGTCCTGGAAGGCGCCTAGCTCGGGTTTGGCCACGCCTGCGCCGAGAGCAAGGCCCAGAATGCGATCGCCGGGTTGGAATTTGGTGGCGACTACTGATCCCACGCTCTCCACGATGCCGGCGATATCCTCTCCGAGGATCAGGGGGTATTTGATGAATGGCAGGGCAGTGTCCTGGACTATGGCGTCGGCCGGGTTCATCGCCCAGGCATGCACCTGGACCACGATCTGTTCATCGGCAATTTGAGAGGGAATCGGACTCTCTCGGATGACACCTGGCACGCCTGCCTCGTCTTGCCATAGGGAGTGGTTCATCTTTGTCATGGTGATTGTGATTTTGATGTGGTGATTGGGTTGATCTTTTTATAAGGTATCGGTTGGATAAATTGGAGCGGACATTTTATATATGAAGGAGGAAGAATGGGCAGATATGAACTGGTGCGCCATTTCACCTAGGGTTCTCATGCGGTAACTCCGTGGCATGGTCGATATCTTTGAGGTTAGCACTAAAGAAGGACCTTTTTATGGGTAAGTACAATCAGAAACAAGCATTTTCACAAGGTTAGCTTGAATTATCCCTGTCGTGTTAGTGAGGGATTCAGTATTACAAAGACTGTATATCTAGAGATATACCCGGGCTTAGGACTTAGCGGAGCTAACCGGACCTAACGGTGTTATATTCCTCACCTTATACTTCATTTATGCTACATTTCGGATGATGAGAAGCCCGGGCATAGCATTATCGGCTTACATTTGGCTCTGGTACAATAAGATAGTAATGACCTTTGGACTTGCCGACCCGTGGCGTTGTGTATAGCGTATACCCCATGTTCCTCAATCCAGCAGATGGTGCACAATCACCCAGAACATAGTCTTTCTGTACAGGCTAAAATGTTCCAACAGGTAAGATTTCATGGATTGAAATTGGTGATGCCTCAGAGTGGTACAAGTTTCAGCAATATGAAACAGAGCTACTAATACATATTCAATTAATGCCAAGGAATGAATTGTACCTGCCCTTGGTTTGCCTTAACAGAAAACCCTTCAATTGAGATAATTCACACAAGACCTGCAAAGTTTTAGACATAGACCTTCCGTCCATAGTGTAAATGTTACCCGAAAGCGGGCAAGTCTGCAGCACCCAGTTAGCAAAGATAATCGCCGAGTTTCTCACTGCAAGACATAATTACCTAATATAAAATGACCACTAAGCTTGTCTATGTTCAATCCCTTGCTCCATCACCCCTGGTGTTTTGACATATGCCGGGGCTGGTTGCTGGACCGGGGTGTACGGCACCCATTGCTGTATAGGGGGTGGTTGGAAAGAGTTATCCAAGTCCGCTTCTTTCTTTTTGCGATCACGACGCATTTTGATGAGAAGGATAATAACCACAGCAATAACAACGAGGATCACAATTGGGATGATGATCACTTTGAGCAAGAGCTTTATAAGACCCATGGTGAGGAAGACTGAAGTAGAGGAACAGGAATAGGTAGCAGAGACCAGTATCACACAAAAAGGTGAGTCCAATGAAGATATAATGTAGAGGGGTGCCTGGGGAAAAAGGAATACACCTCGGATGGGTGAATTGAGGGACTTTTATACCCCGATCTGCTCAACGCCCTGGCTCTGTGTGACTCGGCCATGTCGTATCAACAGGTTATGGATGCATTCTACATGAGCATAGGGCATGGCGCAGCGCTAAATAGTGATATCTGGTTGGCGACCAGCCTGTGGGCGTACTAAATTTAACATGGAAACACAAGGCCGTTGACTACTTTTCCTAATAAAAGAAAACAGACTTTATTAGCCTATGCTAGGCGCTGCAACTGTGATTGATCGTACATGACAGAAGTTTCAGCATTTCTTCGTAAGGCCTCCCTTGTTATGTGCCTCTACAAATGGATCTTTTTGAGCTGAGAATCGTGTGTGACTTTGAACAGCCACACTGCGTAAGCAATGAAGATTCGACTCTAGATACTACACCGAAAACAAATCAATAATCCGCTGCAAACAAGAGAAATGATTCTGTGAAAGAGAAATGGAAATTCAGCGGAATTCTGCTGCCTGATCACGCCCACTTACCTGGTTAGCCTGTAATAAACTATCCATGCAGGTTTGAATGGTGATGGTAATGCTCAAATCAGGGGTGTCTATTGTCGATAGTCTAAAGATAGAATCTTTAGAATCTTTAGACTAAGATTGAAGGAGTTTGAGGCAGTAGACATTGAAAATCCCCTTCAGTCCCCATGAGAACATTCGGATAAAAGCCGAGCTAATAGGAGTGATCTACGTGATTGGTTAAATTCGAAGGTGGTGCATCTGGTCACAGCGCCAAGGTTCAGCCCTACGAGGGGACTCCACTTTTGATGACGATTCCCTGCCTTTGGCTTAAGATATTTTGCTTCTATGAAATATGTTTTGGGCGCTCAAATACGTAGATTTCATATATTTTGTCCGCATGTAATTTATCTAACAGGAAACAATTAATCGTGGCCACCATCCTAAACAAAGGGTGCATCGACTGCGTCTGGGTGCACGTAGAATGCAATTGCGATTATCAGATACCTAGGAGACATAATTAGTACCGAGGTAAACCATAACAACCATGCGGTCACTCACGTTCCAACCAATAAAGATCCTTCGTAGTAATTGGATCGACCTCCACGGATCAAGCAGTCCATGACTATTACCGATATGAAGAATACCACCGTTTCAAAGGGACTGTAGCGCAAGGACATAGGCTGCCCAATAACCAAGCCACACATAACCAGGAACGGACTCACGAACAATGCGATTTGCAACGTGCTTCCCACGACCACACCAATGGCGAGGTCCATATTCCCTTTGATCGAAGAATTCACAACAGTATTGAACTCCCCCGCGTTACCGACAATGGGAACCACAATCAAGCCAATAAAAGCCCGGCTCACATGCCACTTATCTACAAATCCATCGACACTGTCCACCAGACGATCGGAGCAGACTGTGACCCCGAGGGTTGCAAGGATCAAAATGATGCTTGCCGGCCAGGGACCCAGAACTTGCTCTTCTTCCTCTTCTTGTTGATCGTCAACGAATAGCTCGGAATGACTCTTCAGTTGGAAGTAGAGGTAGACCAGGTAGAATGTGAGTAGGACCACAGATGCAGCACGGGAGAGACTCAGGACGCTGGTTTCCACATCGTGGGACTTGGACGGTATGGTCGAATAGAGCACGGATGGAATGATCAATGTTGCAGAGGAAACCACCATCAAGGATGATAGTATCCCACTGACATCGACGTTGAATTTCACCACATCCTTTCCATAACCGCCGCAGAACAGTGAAACACCGAGGATCTACATTTCGTGTAAGTAGAGAAGACCATCCGGGTAGAGAATATGCACCAAAAATCAAACCTACCAGAAGATTCCCCGACAGGATGCTGCCCACCATACTTGACTGCACAATGCTAATCTCTCCCTGTCGGACCGCAGTGATCCCCACCTACGCAATGACCAACGTCAGTTTCCCGCCTCAACAGAGGGTCAAACAGCCACTTACAATCATTTCAACCGCATTTCCAAAGGTCGCATTAATCAGCCCTCCGACGGTTTGTCCGACACTTTTTGCCAATTCCTCTGTGGCGAACGACAGCAATGCAGCGAGCGGAAGAATCGCCAGGAAATTGAACACGAAGGAAATCGAGTCACCCCATCCTTGACCCCCCGCAATTATACCCAGAAACACAAACGGCAGTAACAAATTGGAGTAGCTGCATCCCAGGGTAGTCTTAATCACATGTAAAACAGAGTTACCTAGGAACAGAGCGCGTTTTGAGTCGGGGTAGTTTGTGTCACGAAGCTCCTCTCCATTAATTTCGCGTTCAGTCTCGTCTCTTAGTAATGCGTCTTGCTCATAGGCTGTCGTATTTGATTCTAGGGAGCTAGCCATGATTTCAGGGTCAATCCTGGTTGACTTTCGCAGCCGGGGGTGAGCTGTGTCATTCATGTTGTTGAGAGTGAGGAAACCAAGAAACATCTCGACCTCGGGAGGGTCAAGGGGATGATGTATTACTCGGCCTTTCAGGCCTAGGCATCTGTGTATGCACTAGTGTAACTGGTCCAAGGGTGAATTACATAGGATTATTCTACTTGAAGAGCTGTGCAGATAAAATACATGTATGCTTTGGTTAAATTACGATTAATTACAGTTTATTACATATGTGACAGTATCGGGATGGAAATCTTACTGTGATACACCGAGCCTCATTTATTGACCTGTGTGGACTTTCTCAAGACGAGTGGATTCTTTCAGCTTCACCTTTTCCCTCGATAAATCATGTCTCTCAATCGAGGTTTACCTATGCTAGATTGCAATTCAGTCATTTCACAGGTTCAGCACCACCTGGGCCTCTTGTCACTTTTGATACCTCTCATCGGTATAATAGGAGGAGCTCTGAAGTGGAACAGTGCTGCCATCTTCGCTCTCAACATTGTCGCTCTGATTCCACTTGTATCATGGATTAACCGATCAGTCGATGTGCTAGCTGTAGGTGGCAGTCGAGCTGTCATTGAAGTGCTGAAATCAACTCTAGGAAACTCGGTGGAATTAATGGTGATATTCAGGGACTCGATCTTCAATTCAAATACAAGCTGATGATGATTTATCCAGATCGGAATCAATGCGATCGCACAAAAGCGACCAAACATCTCCCAGTCTGTGATACTTGGAAGTGTTTTAAGCAATTTATTACTGGTAAATCCCAGTATCAAATCCCACTACTCGTGCTATGAACCTCCTCCTGATACAAACTTTACATCCAGGTCCTCGGCAGCGCCATCTTTTTCTCAGGCTATGACCGAAAGCGACTCCGGTTTGATCGCACCCTCACAACAGTCCTATCATCCCTCATGATGGTTGTCTTCATTCTCCTCGCCCTCCCAACTATAATGGACGTCTTTCCATCTGCCAAGGCCACCCCAGAAGACCAAATCCTCTTGACACAACGCGTAACAGCCATTATCCTCGTCATTCTTCTCCTCACGTTCCTCGTTTTCCGCCTCGGAACCCATGCAGCCATGTTCGCCAGCACCCCATTCAGCCAGCGAGACCACACCCATAGAGGCCATCAGTCTCGCCAAAGCCAGATCATCGAGGGCCGGATCCCGCAACCGTATATCGGCAAGGATGCAGCTGCTATAATCCTAGCAGCTGCATCCGGCTCTGCGCTTGCGTGTGCTTATTACATAGTCAGCAGTTTGAGTGGCGTTGCTACCATAACGGGCATGAACCAGTCTTTCCTTGCCGTGACACTCGTTCCTCTACTCGGGAACTCGGTTAAGTACCGCTCCATTGTGGTGGGGTCCCGGTCTTACAATCAGATCGAGCTTGGGATCAGGGCGGTTATCAACAATGTGTTGCGGGTTACAATGCTTATTGCCCCACTGCTGGTTCTTGTTGGTTGGGCTTTTGATCAGCCGCGTATTCTTAGGTTTGATGGTTTTGAGGCTACAACGCTTTTGCTTAGTGTTGTGGTAATAACTTATCTAATCTCTGATGGGCGGAGTAATTACTTCGAGGGGTTGATGTTGATTGGAACGTGAGTCGCTCGCACTGCTTTGTTGAGCTTATTGTTCGTCGGTATTAACTTTGCTTTCTCTTATCAGATACATGATCATTACTTTCTCGTTCTTTGTTAGGCCTGAGGTGCCAGTGAATGTGATTTTCCTAGGTGCTTAGATTTACCCAGTCCTAATATATTACATTATTGGTCACTTGAAGTATCTCCTGAAGATTTAATTAAAGATGTATTAAGGCGGCACAACCCTCTTGCTATCTAGCGCGCATAGAACGCCACAACTAGACTAGAGTACCTATAATCATGCGTCAGTAAAAATATCAACGGAATCTAGTAAGGGATTCAGAGAACTTACAGAGCAAGGAGCATCACACCATGGATGTAAGCATACTGTCCATCACGAAGTAGATGATTAACCACTAGAATGGCCAAGAACATGGCAACAGTCTGGAACGAGTCAAAGAAAAGCGTCATCGGTTCAGCAATACACCAGCCGATAATCACCAATAATGGTATGACAAACAGACCAATCTGCAAAAGACTGTCGATGATAACTCGGATTGCAGAGTCTGTGTCTCCTGTGCGTGATGCCGTAACGACAGTAACTCCCTCGGTGCTATTGCTGGCGATTGGAATAAAAGCGATCGCGATAAATACTTCAGAGACTCCAAACGTTTTTGTCATGTCGCCCACACTTTCAAGCAAGAGTTCTGTGCAAAAAACTGTTGCGGCCACTGCAGTTGTCAATCGGATAATTGATGAAGCCAAGCTGGCTTGGTTGGCTGCAGATGATGAATCTCCGTAATTTTCTTCGTCACTAGTTTCACTCTCATTTGAAAGAAAGAGGTGTTTGTGAGTTCTGAGGTAGAAATAGAGGTAACCCCCGTAGAGGGCGAGCATCACCAATGACGTTCCTCGTGAGAAAGATAGCACTCTGTCATCGATCTCGGATACTGGGAAAGTTGAGTAGAGAGCCGTTGGGAGAAGCATCGTCACGGCTGTGATCATCATCAAAGAAGACAAGGTCTTTGCAAGAGCGCTGTTGAACTCTAAAACTTCCTTGTTGTACGAAGCTGTGACGAGACAACAGCCGAAGACCTAGATTTGGCTGTTAGTCGGATGTTATAGCCACCAGTGGTATCTTCAAAATTTGAGATCTTACGAGCAGAATATCCGAGAGAATACTGCCAACCATGACAGACTGCGCAAATAGGATCTCGCCATGAACCAGAGCCAGAATTCCTGCCTAGGCTGAGTGAGCAATGTGTCATTTCGATACCCGGTGCAAGAATTGTGACTCACCGTGAGCTCTACGGTATTTCCGAAGGTGGCACTGAGTAGTGCACCTTGCAACTCTCCGAGATGCGCAGCGAGCTCATCGGATGAGATAGATATCGCCTCAGACAAAAATATAATGGCGACGATATTCACCACGAGAACTATGGTCGGGTTCCAATGAAATATCTTTGCAAGCCCGGCCAGGGGTAATAGCACCATCATTGGCCATCCATGATTGACATTCAATTCCTTCAGTCCTGTTTGTGATGGCATCTTGAAAAACCTCTGGATACGAGTCCAAGGGTCTAAATCTGCATCTTGTATTTGCTGACGCTGATGGCGACTGGGCTCCGGTCCACAGTATTCTGGCTGCGTGCCTCGACGAGACATGGTAATTCCGGGGAAGTCTGGGCAGTCCCTGAGTGTTGAAGCTTAAGTGAGATGCTACCCAAGGACTAGGGAAACCACATGAGTTCAATGTTCGGGACAACTCTGTTTCCAACGTTACCATGGTACGAATACGGGTACTAGTAACTTTCAGCCTTAATTAAAAGTTACAGCCCTATTACTAGCGCCAAACAGAACTGCCTCATCTCCACATGTGGACTGGAGAATGGGGGTTGACCTGATAGGGCTGAGCCGGCATTTACCCGTTTGGTACTTGCAATGTTGTGTATACATACGGTATGCAGGTTTCAGGCAACAGCATTTCTTATGGTCTCAGCCTTATGGGATACTTTGATGCAGGGTTGAGCTATAAATATTTTACTATGGAATGACGATCGTCCTATTACTTTACAATTATTACTCGGGAAACACCGTCAACCCCTCTCTGCTCTGTATTGTCATTAACCGGAGCATTCGTGTCCCCCCCACATCCACCTTGGCAATGCGTTCACGGCTCACAATTATTATTCCCTTCTGAAAGAGTTACATACCGGTCGCGCAGTCCTTTCTTCATCACAACCCCATCTTTTGACAACTCCAACCCTCCGAGACGGGTAAGAGATCAAAACCCCGCCTATCAAATCACCCACACAAACAACTTATCAACCTGTCCCAGAGTTGAACGATCCCTGCTGCCCTGCCTGTGATCTATGGACAAACACCCTCCCTCCCTCGAGTCGCTCCAGAGGGAGGTAAGTGATCTCACAGCCAGTTATCATGGCCGAGGCTGGACAACCAAGGCCACAGACCTGGAGTTTGCAATGACGACAGCGGGGAATCGGATACTCGCGGCAGACACGAATTCTGACGCAACGACAATAACGCTCGAAGAGCTAGCGGCATGTGTGAAGGCATGGATGCAGGCCAAATCATGGATTGTTGCCGAAGATCTAGCCATTCGGGTGCTGGACGCCTGCAAAAACTTGAAGGGAGAACAAGACTTCATGACTATGGCAGCGATGCATAATCTCGCTTCGGCGTATTTGTGCCGAGGGCAGCTGGATCAGGCTGCTGATCTCTCTGCCCGAGTGACAAAGTTGAGACAAGAGATTCTCGGCGAGACGCACCCCCAGACATTGGCTTCGATGACGAATCTAGCTTCCACATATCGAGCTCAAGGGCTTTGGGTTGATGCTCAGAAACTTGATGCGAGGATTGTCGAGTTGAAGAAGAATACTATTGGTCCCAGGGATCCATCCACCTTGGTGTCCATGTCTAACTTGGCTATATCGTATGCCCATCTGGGTCGGTATGAAGAGGGCGAGTCAATTTCGCGCAAATTGGTCGACATCGGAGAAAGGGAATTACTTCCAACCAACGCCTCGCTGTTAAACTGGAAACTTACTCTGGCATCGACCTACCGAGACCAGGGGAGGCTAGACTCTGCTGAAAAGCTAGAACGAGAGGTTGTCGCTGTTAGTCGGGACATATTTGGAACAAATCATCCCTTTACTTTGACCTCTATGTCCAATCTTGCATCCACATACCGCGAACAAGCCCGATGGTCGGATGCTGAGCGCCTTGAAAAAGAAGTCGTGGCTAGCAGCGAGGCCGTGCTCGGCGAAACGCACCCCCAAACACTAATTTCCATCAGCAACCTTGCCTCAACATATCGCAATCAGGGTCGGCTCGAAGAGGCCAAAGATCTCGGAGGAAAAGCAACAGCTGTGCTGAAAGAGGTCCTTGGGGAACGTCATCCAAACACACTGATTGCTATGGTGGATCTTGCAGTGACATATCAAATGATGAGTCAATCACCAGATGCCGAGATCTTGGCCGCCCAGTCTCTGCATTTGATGGAAGAGACGATAGGCAAAGACCATCCATATACACTCCGCGCGATGGCAAATCTGGGCTTAATATACCAGTCGCAAAGCAAGTGGGAGGTCGCCGGAGGAATAGCCGAAAAGGTACATTCTCGCAGGGAAACAGCATTCGGAACGGACCACCCAGATACCGTGGCGGCACTGGAGGATTTAAGGAGAGTGGCGTGGGTAGAGGCGGCGGATCAGAATGCACAGCGTACGTTGAATTAGACTCTGTTTTGGGCTTGGGATGTGGAGAGGCCTTGCCGAATGTCCTAGTCTATATCTAGCCAGTATTGGCCAGTTTTAACAATTTTTAATCTTTTTTTTCTGGGTTTAATGACTATTTGTTAAGTTTTGTGGGTGATGCATCACTTGGGTCGAGAGGGTCAGTCTCGGGCATTAACATGGTCTTTTGCCCTGCACAGCCTCCTTGCCAAGACTCAATCTTTCTGTGTAATCTCTGGGACATACGACAGTATGCTTTAGGGAAGTACAATAGACAGCATAGCCCCGTGAGAAACTTAGTTGTCTGCTCTGAAGTGAGCTTTGGTTTTTAGTTAAGCTGCATATCTCGTCTTATGGCCAATGCAGACACATGCAGGCACTTGTCGGACGTCAGCATGGCTAGTCAGAGGAACTAAAAGGAAGGCCCTATATTTATGATCGAGTGAATGATCTCCGATTGATATATCCCCTATAGTATACAGACTAGCGTCAAAACAATATAGGTAGCGCGTCTCCTAGATGTCGCTATATGAGCCCAAATAGGTATCTCTTGCCAAAAAGAAATACTGTAGATATCGGGTCACATATTATGTCTCATGTTCTTGTAAATATTAATATATAATAGATTCGATGTCTAACTACGTATGTATTTCGCATCCAAGTTGAAATCTCCTAAGATACGCCAAGCTGTATTTTACAATTCCTTCCCCTTTACGCGTATTTGTATTTCGCCATAACACATGTGCACTTGCAGATGTCCTTTCTGATTTTATCCATCCAATTCCCCCCCCGACGACATTCTCAATGAAATGACACCAACTTCAGGGACCAATGGGTCTCCTATGTTTTTTTGGTCGCGAATAGTAAGTTCAACAATGATGAGGCCTGAAAATTTGTCTCACTGACAATACACAGAAGAACCCGCGATCAAACCGTGCCACGGAACAATCCACCCAGTCGACTTGTTCGGCTTTTTCCATTGATCCTGAGACATTAAGCGACCTTGTACAATCCAAAGATGTCCAGGAGTTTTATGCCCTTGGTGGAATAATAGGTTTGGAGGAAGGACTGCGAACCGACGTCCACTCCGGTCTGAGCCTGGACGAGACCTATCTAAGTGTTCCTGCGAATGTCACTGGCACTACCACAAGCACTACGCCGACAGAAAAGAACGCTATCGCTGGGCTCCCTATCCCGACGGGGATTAGTTATGATGCCTTCGTCGATAGAAAGAAATTCTTCGGGGACAATCGCCTTCCCATAAAACCATCTCCGAGCTTCCTGTCATTGATGTGGGCAGCCTACAACGACCACGTGTTATTCCTCCTAACTGGGGCTGCTATTATCTCGCTTGCTTTGGGGCTGTATCAGACCTTCGGAACCAAGCATACTGCTAATAACCCACCCGTTGAATGGGTGGAGGGCGTTGCCATCCTCGTCGCTATCGTCGTCATTACTCTCGCCGGTGCCGCGAATGACTATCAAAGGGAGTACAAGTTCCGGAAACTCAACAAGAAGCAGCAAGATCGCAATGTTTGGGTCCTTCGATCTGCGAGGGTTTATGACATTCCCATCTCCGAGGTTGTTGTTGGTGATATTGTCCACATCAGTCCGGGGGATATCGTGCCTGCTGATGGGGTATTGATAAGGGGTCATCAGATCAAATGCGACGAGTCCTCGGCAACTGGCGAGTCCGATCCGGTTGATAAGAGCGCCATAGATACAACTCTTCCTGATGGCTCTCATGATATCGATCCATTCATCCTATCCCATACCAAGATCGTGGAAGGCGTCGGTGCGTACCTCGTCTTGGCTACAGGCACAAAATCAAGCTACGGAAGAATTCTCTTGTCTCTCGACACCGATCCAGGGTTTACCCCGCTTCAAGTACGGCTCAGCAATCTTGCAAAGAATATCGCCCGTTTTGGTGCACTTGCGGCCCTTGTGCTATTCGTAATCTTGTTCATCAAATTCTGTGTCAGCCTCCGGAATAGTACCAAATCCGCGTCGGAAAAGGGACAATCGTTTTTGAATGTCTTCATTCTGGCCTTGACTGTCGTTGTGATCGCAGTCCCCGAAGGACTTCCCTTGGCAGTTACACTTGCGTTGTCATTTGCCACTACTCGAATGATGAGAGATAACAACTTGGTTCGACAGCTCCGAGCGTGCGAAACGATGGGACAGGCCACGGATATCTGTTCAGACAAGACGGGAACGTTGACACAGAATGAGATGACTGTTGTCTCGGGTTTCTTCGGGGCTACCTCGCAATTTACCGATCGAGCTAGCAGTCCAGATATCTTGGATGAAGAAAAATACTCGTCTGTGGCAAAGTGCATGAGTCGTCTTTCCGGTCAATCAAGGTCGCTTTTGAGGCAATCTATCGCGATCAACTCAACTGCAATTGAAAGCCAATATGATGGAGGTCGGCAGTTTCTCGGGTCCCAAACAGAGGCCGCTTTACTAAGATTTTCCCAGGACTATCTCGAGCTAGGTCAGCTTGACTTTGATCGTGCTAGTGTGGAAGTTGTGGATCTTTTGCCTTTTGATGCTTCTCGCAAATACATGATCACAGTTGTCAAACTGGCCAGCGGGTTATATCGATCATACGTGAAGGGTGCTCCTGAAATTCTCCTTAAGAAATGTGTGGCCACAATTGCACAACCAATGCAAGGGCTTAGTACCGCTCCAATCAGGGATGATGGTATTGAGCAAATACGTCAGACGATCTCTCAATATGCCTCACGATCCTTGCGCACAATTGCGATTTGCTTCCGGGATGTGGAATTTTTACCCTTCAGGGGGGAGGAAGAGACCATTGACTTCGAGGAGCTGGTGAAAGAGCTTACATTTCAAGGAATTCTGGGTCTGCGAGATCCTCTCCGGGCTGATGCTTGGGGTGCTGTTGAGACTAGTCATAAAGCAGGTCTCACTGTGCGCATGGTTACCGGTGACAACCTTCTAACAGCAAGAGCCATTGCAGAAGAATGTGGAATAATCAGCAGTCCAGATGATCTTGTGATGGAAGGCGATAAGTTCCGTGCGCTCGATGAATCACAGCAGAAGGAGCTAGTCCCACGCCTCAAGGTCCTTGCTCGATCTCGCCCAGATGATAAGCGGGTTCTGGTCCAGCGTCTGAAAGATCTCGGAAGAGTCGTTGCTGTCACTGGAGACGGCACCAATGATGCCCCTGCCCTTGCGGCTGCTGATATCGGATTCTCGATGGGAATATCTGGCACTGAAATTGCTCGTGAGGCTTCCTCAATTGTCCTGATGGATGATACATTTTCTTCGATTGTCAAGGCTATAATGTGGGGAAGGGCAGTCGGCGATGCTGTCAAGAAATTTTTGCAGGTAGGCTAAAGGCTCTATTAACAAGGAGTATAAATGGGCGGTCGATCTAATATACCTTTTCCAGTTCCAAATTACCATCACCTTCACCTCTGTGGGCCTAGCATTTGTCTCGGCGGTCGCCAACTCGTCGCAGGAGTCGGTTCTGACACCAGTGCAGCTCATGTGGGTAAACCTATTTCAAGACACTCTAGCCGCTCTAGCGCTAGCAACGGACCCTCCTCCTCGCCGTATCCTTGACCGCAAACCCGAACCAATATCTACACCTTTAATTACTCCTACCATGTGGAAGATGATCATCGGCCAATCTGTGTATCAGATGGTAGTGACACTCGTTCTGTACTTCGCGGGCTCTTCTATCTTCTCCTATCACAGCGCTCTTCAAACATCACAGTTACAGACGGCCGTTTTCAATACCTATGTCTGGATGCAGATATTCAACATGTACAAGTATGTTGAGGCTACCTTAACCTTGTTTGGTCTTACTAACCCCAAAACAGCAATCGACAAATTGAGCAATCATTCAATCTCATCGAAGGGATCCACCATAACTGGCTCTTCATAGCAATCACCTGTGTCATGATGGGCGCTCAAATCCTGATTATGTTCGTCGGCGGGCGGGCATTTTCAATTACGAAGTTGACTGGCTATCAATGGGCATATTCCATCGTTCTCGGTGCGATATCTATTCCCATAGGGTTCTCTCTGCAAGCTATCCCCACTGTCGTTGTTGAGAAACCAATGGCAGGCATGGGGAGGCTATGGGATCGCTTGCGCGGTCGGTGATTTCCCTTCATTTCCTTTTTTTTTTTTTTTTCTCGATCAATCGCGCGAGCGTTTTTGAATCTTGCATGGTCATTTGGACGGAATATATGTAAACTGGCTTTTTAATACCCACTCCTTTCTAGCATTCACTTACTCAATATTGTGGTCCCCTATTAGGGTTTCCATTGGTTGAAGTAGCTCAAAATGAGTCAAGGTTGCGGCCGGGGCATTGGTTGTACCCAGCTCCCCAATATAATAGGTCTGTTGGTGCATATTGGAAAGGGGTCTAGACATTATCAACTGCGTAAGTGGATCAGAAATTAGCCTGTACAACTCGTCTCTGTTGAAGCTGTTGCGATCCTCGCCGAAGATCTGTAAATTGCGATGAAAGGGCTCATATGTTGATACTGAGAATCACCTAGAGATAGAGACAGTATTAAATCAAATATCAATCGATATAGAGCCCTTGCAGTTATTCTTATTCCTTCGGCTCTGGTCAGCATTCTGTAGTATTGAAGAACAACCCGAAAACCGTGGTGCACATTTGTAAGTGGCTTGTTGGAGCTCAACTTATGTGTATGTTTAGAACATGACCGTGTCGTATCACTGATATCGCCTATTATGCTCGTCTCAACCAAATGTCGCGATTCACCCTCTATCTCCATATTTGTTTCGCTTTTGTGATGGTTATGTCGGTATTGCAGACAACGATTTTCGCTCTGTGGGGCGTCGCAGGGGGTAAATACACGAGCTCGGGGATTGTATTCATTTCGACTTCTTTGCTCACTATCGTCCGTGACTCGCTTGTACTCCTGTTGCCAATGAAGATTTTCGTCTCGCTGCAGGTAAATCAAGGAAGAAATCTAACTCTGATATGGGCATGACTCTTGCTCTTCGTAGCCTGTGCTGACTCGACGCCATAAATACCAGCAACCCTGGCAGCGAAGACGAACTGGAGGGTGCGAAGGGTAGCACGGCTGGTAATCCCACAAGTTCCGCTCTTGTGTCAGTACTGATCAATCGTTCGAGGTTTGTACTTTGTGGGAGTTCTGTGGGTTCTTGTCCTTTTCTTCATCAGCAGGGAACGAAATGGCCGCGCGAAGTAGCTAGCATCTATCTATTTAGCCCAGTTTTGTAAGCATTTGCTACTTTTCCATCGACTGCCTGCTGACTCACAGAATATAGAACCTCCATCCTCCGAATGGTGTCCATGATGGTCACCCTCCAACACCCGGATGGCGCAACTTAATATTTCTCTATTGTGGTGGTCAGACATTGGCACCGCTGTTGCTCTTTCACTCCCAGCGTTGCGAGCTTCGTTGGTAGTCTGCAACAATTATCGATAGACCTAGGTCACACCCAAACGATACCTAGACGATTAGCCTTCGATCGATTCCTCGGTCGGTAAAGCAGACTGTATTTGACGGAGGTGGTGTTTATGAGACGACATTTGATGTGAACTGGGGGAAAAACCCAAGCCAGGAGACGCTTCGGGATGTCAACGATGGGGAGGTTCGAGTAGAGGATGCGGTTCGCGTGGGTGCCTCATCCCGGTAGGCGAGAGTGGTTATAGAGCTGATGAGGTATATTTGCTCCGTGTCTACTAAGTTAATTCCAAAATGAAATGGCTTGATGTGCTGTAATTTATAAGAAGCGATATCTCGACATGCTTTGGGTCGTTCTATGATGATCTCATCAGTGAGTGACTGTTCAGTTTACCCGTTTCTTCTGTTGAGGATGGCCAAAATGTTTTGTTTGGATCACTTGGGAATGTGACCTGAATACCCTTCTCTATTGCTCTCGGTGAGCTTTCCAGAATCCAGCGTGGCGAAAGGTATTGCTGAGGTCAGTTAGCTGTCTGATGGGTCCATTTGGAGAACCAGGTTGATGCACGCTACCACATCATACGTGGTTCGGAGAGCAACTTCCAAAAGAGAAGTTTTGACTAAACAGAAATGAGGTAACTTGCACCTGACAGGCCTCCTCGGGGATAGATCAATGCAACTGATTCGTTCTTTTGGCGAAGTTGGTGGTCATGCGAGCTAGTAGCTAAATTGGCCAGATCGGAGAATTGAACAGGTGCAAACGCCTATATTGAGTGGGGCTAAACCATGCGAGAAATTGCCGGGATTATTTTATATTATTAATATCATTCAGCTTTCGGTTGTAATTCGTGATATGTACTCCGTAGTCATGTACATTGCACGTGGGCAAATGGTTCTGTTGTAGACGAGTTTAGCTTGGGCTGGCAATTACCTTGGAACCAGGGTTCTGAACTGAAACTCAGGTACTTCAACTAATCTTTCTTTTCATCGCCACCAATTGCTTATGGCTGTCAACCTTGGAAAACAACTGCCTACAACGTAAAAGGGCACGTGCGCTCGCCTCGGAGCGCCCGATCCACTGGCTTGGCAAGAGTGAGACTTGTAAAGGTTAGAGATGGTTTCTAGAATGTTAGCGAGCCATGCGAGAGACAGGCCTATCCCCGGAATGTCTTTGGACGTTATACACCCACGTGTGGACTTACTGTGCTCTCATAGGTAGAAGTGGGCCGTATGTCCCCACCCCCGCCAAGAGCCGCAACCGTCCAATGGCCGTGTCACAGTAGCCAATCAGATGTCATTCCCATTGAATCACACTGGATCTATACCTAATCTGGATCTATCCCATAGTATATATCAATGTACAAAGTTCCGCCCAGCTTGCTGCCAAGACCTTATCCAATTTGCTTGAGACCACAAGCTTGCGGAAACATGCTATTTTCTCTCTTAGCCAGGTCTTGTTACATTTACTTTTTGCCAAGCCCACGAACGGTGATTCATGGGCTCCCATTGCGAGTAGGACCAGCACGTGTGGTCGGAATGTCCCAAACGGGAAGTTCTCATAGGCGTAGAACACTTGCCACAGGACTTGTCGTGCATAGAGAGCAGACGGCCCCGTATCAATCTTTAGAATCTTCCATGCATACATAAAAGGCAGTCTTCTCACCTCACCCCTTATTTCTCTTCTTCATCAGAGCAACCGAAAGTCCAGTACTAAGCTTTCACTTGACTTGGTATCACTTTATTTGATACAACTCATCAAGATGTATCTCCACCAATATGATTACATCTTTGCCATCGGCACGTTGTTCGCTATGCTTGATGCATTCAACAACGGTGCAAGTGAGTAGCACAGAGCTTATCTTCTCCTTTTTCGACCTCGACTAACCTTTGGATCCCTCATAGACGATGTCGCCAATTCCTGGGCTACCAGTGTCTCCTCCCGGTCCATCTCTTACCGCCAGGCCATGATCCTCGGTACCATTTTCGAGTTCGTCGGAGCTGTCGCTGTCGGTGCTCGCACCGCTGATACTATCAAGAACGGCATCATTCCCAACTCAGCCTTCAAAGGCAATGCCGGCGTTCAAATGCTTGCCTTCACATGTGCCCTTGCCGCTGCATCCTCATGGGTGATGTGGTGTACCAAAAACTCCGCCCACGTCTCCTCCACCTACTCTCTCATCTCTGCTGTCGCAGGTGTTGGTGTTGCAACTGTTGGCGCTTCCCAGGTTCAGTGGGGCTGGAACAATGGTAAGGGTCTCGGTGCCATTTTCGCTGGTCTTGGCATGGCCCCTGTCATTTCCGGTTGCTTTGCCGCCATCATCTTCCTGTTGATCAAGTACGTCGTGCATGTGCGGAGAAACCCTATCGCCTGGGCCGTCTGGAGTGCTCCTTTCTTCTTCCTGGTTGCCGCCACCATTTGCACACTCTCCATTGTCTACAAGGGCTCTCCCAGCCTGAATCTGAACAAGAAGCCTGGCTGGTACGTTGCTGCCGTCACTATGGGCACTGGTGGTGGTGTCTGTCTTTTGTCTGCTATCTTCTTTGTTCCTTTCCTCCACGCCCGTGTCATCAAGAAGGACTCCAGTGTGAAATGGTGGATGGTCATTCAGGGCCCTCTGCTCTTCAACCGTCCCGTTCCTACCGATTCTGAGGTCGCCCAGGTCCCCAACTACGCTGTGGTGCAAGATGAATCCGAGTATCACGAGTCTCACCTGCCTATCGATGAGAAGGAGGCCAAGACCGGTGTTGCCTCCATCCCAGGCTCTACAGAGGAGCAATCTGTTGATAGGCTCGAGGCCAATCAACTCACCTACCGCGAACTCATGATCCAGTCCGAGGAACGTCACAACGCCAAGCTCCTTCAAAGCCGTGGTCCCATTGGCTGGGCTATGCGCCTTCTCCGTGACAACCCCATGGGCCCCGGTGAGATCTACGAGTTCCGCAACATGCGGCGCATGGCCAAGCGCCTGCCCGCTATCATCACTGTCGGTGTTCTCTACGGTTTCCACTACGACATCCACACTGCCCAGAGTGGTAACGAGGGTACTCCAGAGGGTGAGCGCATGAAGCGTGTGTATGCCAACGCCGAGAAATACCCCAACGAGGTCGAGCACACCTACTCCTTCATCCAGGTCATCACTGCCTGCACTGCTTCCTTCGCTCACGGTGCCAACGATATTGGTAACTCTGTCGGCCCCTGGGCTGCCATTTACTCTGCCTGGTCCACTGGCACCCCCGCTGCATCCAAGTCCCCCGTGCCTATCTGGCAGCTCGCTGTTCTGGCCATTTGCATTTCCATCGGTCTGTGCACTTACGGATACAACATCATGAAAGGTGAGCACTTCCTTCTTTCCTTTTACCAAATCTTCATTCTTACTAACTGTATAATTAGTCATGGGTAACAAGATCACCTACCACTCCCCGTCCCGTGGCTCCTCCATGGAGATGGGCGCTGCTCTTACCGTTCTAGTCTTCTCGCAGTTCTCACTGCCCGTTTCCACCTCCATGTGCATCACTGGCGCTACCGTCGGTGTTGGACTGTGCAACGGAACTTACAAGGCCGTCAACTTCCAGCGTGTCGGTCTTTTGTTGTTTGCTTGGATCATGACCATTCCCATTGCTGGTACCCTTGGTGGATGCCTCATGGGATTGGTCCTTAACGCTCCCCATTTCCTCACGGTTTAGACGTTTGGCATTTTTGGTTCAATCGTGAACATTTTTGAAAGCGCGCATATTTTACTTAATTCTTCTTTTGAAATACCAATTTTAGATCTTGGACAGTCAATCAAATCATTCAAACAAAAGTTTTAGAAAAGTCAGTGATCATACTATTTTGGAAATAAAGATATTCAATCGAAACCAATGTTTATTAACCTCCAATTTTACTACTTAAATAAAACAAAAAGTAAGAATTAAAGAGTGCCTCTAATTAAGAGGGCGTCGCTGGGTTTTAATTCGAAGCAAAAAGGACAAAAAATTAGTTTCCCTGGGAATCGAACCCAGAACCTTTCCGGAACATATGCTAATCGCATTTGTTAACGGAAAATCATAACCGCTAGACCAGGAAACTGCTCGGCCACTTGGGCCAATTGATGGAAGGAACAGCCATAATTGACATTATGAGTCAATCCATCAAACGACAAAATCTCCACGCAGTATATGTGCTAGATTCATCTCATCTCTGGGGGGTTAGAACAACAGCACTCTCTATAGATAAATTTAATTGCAGAGATTCATCGTTACTTTATTAGTCTCAACTTTTTTACTCAATGACATATCCTCTGAAGTAGGGTTGAAAAAAATTGAAAATATTTGGACAAAACAATTCATACATATATTCCCACAAGTAGTTACATATTTTGGTCTGTGGTGTTTCCATTCTCAATCAATCCCCAACCTACATCTCCTCGGCAACCTTGATCAATTCCTCTCTCTCTCTTCGCAAGTAATCATAAGTGACAATCCTCTGACGAGCATCCTGTTCGATAGATTTCCATTCCTCAGGAGAAATAGTGATTTCGCCATCCTGTTTCGGAAAAATGGTCATTGGGCGGCAGCGTTTTGCGAGGCCAATCTTGAAATAACCTAGCCGGAACTGGGTCTGCTTTGTCGGTTCATGGGGGACACCAAACACAAATGCTTCTTTCGGACGCTTGTAGGGTTCTGCGTTGAGTGCTGATGTGAGGCCCATTTGGAAACATTCTTGTCTGTACCGAGCCCGGGCCGATCTGTAAATGGCTTGATCAGTCGGAACCTTGGCTGGAGCTGTAGTCGCGTCACCGGAGGGCTCTGATTGCTGGGGTTTATCAGGAGCGCCTGGAGACTTTTGTGCGTTCTCATCTGTGTTGCCAACTGTACCATCTGCAGGGTCTGCGCTGTCGTCATCATCAGATTCATCATCAGATTCATCCTCGGTGTCGGTATTGGTGTCATCTCCAGAACCGCTCCAAGACCCGTACCCAAGCTCTTCTGCAAGGACCTTCCCAAGAACCTCATTCTTCGAGCTTGTCTCATTATCTATCCCCTGCTGCAGATGCTTCTCGTCCACTTTTCGTCGAATCGGCACCTTATACCGGGGCTTTCCGATTTTAGTAAGTGGACGCTGCTTGACTAATGGTAGTTGTAGTTTGACGAGAGCCCCTTTCCATGTCCTCAATGGTCGCTTGCGTTTGCCTTCGGTGGAGACTGAGTTGTTCGCAGTCTTGTCGAATTCCACGTGCGCCGCGATAGCCTCCTCATGAGCACGTAGCCTTACAGCCCGAGTATGGTCACTGATACCATGTCTGGTGACATCCAGAAAAAAGTTCAGGTCCTGGCATTCGACGCCCTCCTTCGGATCCATGGCGCAAAGGTTCGCTTTCACGAAGTGCTCGTGGGCTTTGCGCATGTTTCCGCGCAGAAACTCAACTCGACCCATCCAGAACTCACACTTGGCAACGAGGAGCAGATTTTTCGATTTTTCTGCAGATTCCCTGGCGAGGTTGACCATAACCTCGGCTTCGGAGGGATTTTCGTTGGCGATGAAGTTAAAAGCTGGTAAGAGATAAGAGCCAACCTCGACTCGATAGTACATATGGACGATCTCTCTGTCAGTCAGTTCGGAAGCCATGTTGGTGACGATACTTGAAAGAGCCCTGAGCTTTTCTTCTCGTAAAGTGCGGGCTTCCAGTATGAGCGCTTGCTCTTCTTGAGAAGAGAGAGAAGGCGTGGTCTGCCAGGAGCTCGCATGATTGCTCGCAAGATTGCTCGCGTGGGGAATGTTGTCAGGCATGACCGAAACTCCGGTCCTGGGGGGTTGATCTCAATAAGCTTGTGAAATAGATAGGATGGTAGACTTGTAGTAAACCAAAGATTTCTGTCAGATAAAAGAGATGGAAGATAATATTGGTATTTGGGGCGTTGTTAAAGGAAGATAGTGACCGAGCGAGAAACAGTGGCCTTTATGTACCCAAGAGACGCGACAAGAAAGATAACAAACGCGTTGAAAAGAGCTTGAGAGTTGTTTGAGAGTTTGAGAGGGCTTGAAAAGGTCTGTCTGACCAAGACAATTCAAAACAAAGATATTTGTCTGAAAAGGGAAACTAAGACTTGGGTCATTCTTTCCTTTGTCTCAATCCTCCATTGTTTTAACCTCGTTGAAACTGAAACAGCCCTTCCATCATCCTATTCGCTATCTTTCACTTGACCCTAGAGGTGTTTTGGCTCGGTCGAAAATATACATACACACGCTGTGCTTCAGGTAGATACAACCGTGGCAGGTGTGCCAATAATATTGGAAAATAATCCAAACAAAAAGCCATGGACTTCTGTTACACTTTACTTGAAACTGAAATCAGACTTGTGGAAATTTATTTTATTAGATTGTTTTTGCCTAAGCACTATTCACTAGCCTGAGTCCGAGAACACCACAACAAGATATTGTAAGAACAAATTTCCTTAGCTCGAAGGACCGATCTACCAAAGTTAACGAGTGACAGTGCAGAGCACCCGAGCACACTCTCACACCCCTCAAATAACCCAGCTCCCGCTATTACTCCTTTTCAGACTGATTCCTATAGGAAATACCGACGTAACAAAATCAAAGCAATGAATGGTCTCTCAGAAACTAGCTGTATTTTCAAGATGAGTCACCACCTTCCCAGCCTAATAATGCGTGGGTAGACGCTGCCGGCGAGTGATCAAACTCAGCAGCCTCTATGCGAGTAAATCCAACGACAGCCTCCCTTTGAACCTCACGGGCCTTTTCATTGTAACCCGGTATGTCCAGTGCTTGCGAAAAAGATAAGTAAGCCTCGGGGGACATTTCAAATTTCATGAGGTTCATTCCTTTAATAAAATGAGTAATGCCGGCGATAATGCTAGATTCTGGGTTGTTCAAGACGGCATAGCAGTTGTTAATTTGCAAAACCGTCTCTAGGCTCATCATGGACTCTTCATATTGGCAAAGATAGTGTTGAACGGCGGCGATAAATAGTCGGCATCGCATCTCATCAAGTTCGCACAGAAAAGGGTTTTAGCTAATGACTCGCGAGGCAAGCTCAATTGCAAGCTCCGGGTCATCATGTCGCCACCGCTCTTCTGCGTCTACCAGTAATGAGCTACTGTGTGAACAGAGCCAGATGTCATCGATAGACGTTGGCCTTATTGCTGTTGGTGCAAATGTTCTAGGAATGTCAGATATGGATTGGGAATCAGATTTAAAAGGGGGAATACCGAGAGTAGGGTTACTTGAGGTGGGGCGTTCGAGCATTAGAATGTACACTGTGAGCTGTATCCGAAAGTCGTATAGTTCATTCATGGCTCGAGTCAATTCTTGATCTAGCTTGGTAAGCCTGGCGGACCGGCTAGACTTGATGCCTTGGCGCGGACGTCGAAAAATGTTGGCCATTTTGGAAAGGGAATATCTTGTTGTAATTTTCACAAGTAAATGAATATTTCAATCGAAATGAATTCCTCTGGGGGTTATATACTCGTCCGTCGACTAGTTGCAGTGGCTTCAAAGGACAACTGTCCCCCTCCCTGCGTGTTGATGAAATAGATCATTGTTTCTTTGAGACCAATCTTATTGTAATACTTAAGACAAATAAAGTAACATTGTTTGAAACATGTTTTGATATCAACCTTTGTACGGAGTACTGAACATAGACTTGCAACATCTCCATTCCGAGACAACATTCGGTGTGTGATTTACATACTACCTAGGTAAAGTTATCGCCTGATTTGTAATACTATGCAAACTTGGCAAAGCTTGCAAACAGACAAACCCAGCAAACACAAACAGAGTAAACTTTACAAATGCGACAAACATATGACTATGACATCACCAGCTCCTGTAGCCCCACATCTTACTCGTACCTACTGGATCTCGACTGGCAAGATGCAAACATAAAGTGGAACAGTAAGACTAAGGGTAAGCCGATAAGTTAATTTAGGTATATCCAACACTGGCTGCAGTCCTCAAGCAGCGGTGGAAATACCCAAAGTCGTTTAGCGGCCGAGTGTGCCGCGAGTAAATCAGTAGTCTTACTCCGGCTCCGATGTAAGATGGCATAGACAAGGTGAGTCAAGTGTTTGCCTGATCCGGGCTTGTCCAATCCAATACTACAGATCTTTCCGCAATCATCCACTTAGGGGATCAGACCATGAATCTAGACTTGTGGGGGGGGGGTGTTGTTGCAAACACGTTCACCAAGACAAAACCGGGTTGGAGGCCAATCTGCTGGTAGCCCAATTTATAAAGTCTGCATAGCGTCTCTATGTACATCTAGCTGTTTCCTTTATTTCCCTACTGTCTTGTAGATCAAGTCGTCATATAACCTACAACCACTGGACCCGCTCTTTCCGTTCTCTAATAATTTGTCATAGAGATTTAGTTTGCCAGGTACGCCGACTTGATATCTTCCACTTTGTTATACCTGATATCCAGTCCTGCCTCCTTTTTCTTTCAATTTCTTTAAACTGCTTTCACTTTTGAACTGACATTGATGCACTCGCAGTTATGTCTCCTACCTTGATCAGGAACGTTGACACGGTTGAAATTGTGAATATCCACCAAAATGATATGGAATTCTCCCTGGTGGATGATATCTACAAAAATCTGGACCCACCAACAGGCGGACAGCGTGCATTTCCTACCCTCCTACTCTACGATGCCAAGGGATTGAAGCTCTTCGAGGAGATCACTTACTTAGATGAATACTATCTTACCAACACGGAGATCGAGATTTTGACAAAACATGCGAAGAGGATAGTCGCACGCATTCCAGAAAATGCACAGTTGGTGGAGCTTGGCAGTGGGTCTGTGACCCTTACACCCTGCATCTGTCGCCTCGCGCGCCTGGATAATTTTGGTCAAAGTTCTGACAATTTTTCTTTTTTAGAAACTTGCGAAAGATCGAGATTCTACTTCGAGAATGTGAAAGGATTGAAAAGAAAGTAGATTATTATGCTTTGGACCTTTCATTGGGGGAATTACAGCGAACATTTTCTGAAATCTCGCCCGAAAGCTTCATACATGTGGGATTCCATGGTCTTCATGGAACGTACGATGATGCTGTCGGCTGGCTGAAAAGCCCAGAAAATCGGAAGCGACCGACCGTGGTCTTGTCGATGGGATCATCTATGGGCAATTTTAGTCCTCCGGGTGCCGCGGAATTTCTTGGTGGTTTTTCCAAGCTATTGAGCCCGTCCGATTTTCTACTCATCGGATTGGATGCCTGCAAGAACCCAGAGAAGGTGTTTAGGGCCTATAACGATACCAAAGGCATTACTCGCAAATTCTATGAGAATGGCCTCCTCCATGCTAATAGGGTTCTTGGCTTCGAGGCCTTCAAGGCTGATGAATGGGATATCTTGACCGAGTATGATCCCCGTGAGGGACGGCATCAAGCCTTTTATGTTCCAAAAGTTGATGTGATCATCAATGGGATCAACATTCCCAAAGGAGAGAAGCTTATTTTTGAAGAGGCATGGAAGTACGGTCGCAACGAACGGGATCATCTGTGGCGCCATGCAAACCTCATTTCCCAGGTCGAATTTGGAAATTTGACAGATGATTATCGTAAGCCTTGATCTCTTAATGATACATCGTCACTGCGGACTCGCTGACTTATGTTTGAACAGACCTTCATCTGCTATCACCCGCTGCGCTTGATGTGTCTATGAACCCTTCGAAGTATGCGGCCCAACCGATCCCGAGTATCGGAAACTTCCAGTCTCTGTGGACTGCGTGGGATCTCGCGACTAGAACCATGGTCTCTCATGAGGAGCTTTTGTCTAAACCGATTAAACTCAGAAATGCGCTGATCTTTTATTTTGGTCACATTCCGACATTTTTCGGTGTGTCTTCAATCTTCAATGTTGCTTATCATGCTCACTGCTAATCATGCTGGAACACAGATATTCATCTGACGCGGGCTTTGCAGGAGGAACCCACTGAGCCTAGTCATTATAAACTAATTTTTGAGCGTGGCATTGATCCGGATGTCGAAGATCCACGGCAATGCCACAGCCACAGCGAGATACCTGATGAGTGGCCGCCACTGGATGAAATTCTGGACTACCAAGATAGAGTGCGAAATCGTGCGCTGTCAATCCTACAAGAGGGATACGCATCACAGGACCGTACTCTTGGAGAGGCTCTTTGGATTGGCTATGAACACGAAGCAATGCACCTTGAGACTTTCCTCTACATGCTGATCCAAAGTGATAAGACTCTTCCCCCCACAGGTGTTGATCGCCCGAATTTCCAGCAAATCAGTCACCAAGCGAAGAGAAATGAAAAGCCAAACAAGTGGTTCAGAATTCCACAGCAGACTATCGAAATTGGATTGAACGATTCCAATGAAGAAGTTATGCCAAATAAATCCTTTGGCTGGGACAACGAAAAGCCCCAAAGAAATGTCACTGTGCATGCCTTCGAAGCTCAAGCTCGAGCCATTACCAATGGTGAATATGCCAAATACATACGGGAGAAGGGTATTAAGACATATCCCGCTTCCTGGGTGCTAAAACCAGGCCAAGAAAATCCTGTTTCCAAGGGCACCAGTTCCTCGGGCGCCCAGGCCGGTTCGAGCTCCAGTCCTGCAGGGTTTTCTCTGGAGAATGTTACAGTTCGAACTGTGTTCGGACCTGTGGCTCTGGAACTTGCACAAGACTGGCCATTGGTTGCTTCCTATGATGAAGTGGCGAGCTATGCAAAGTGCATGCAATGCAGGATCCCCACATTTGAAGAGACCAGGAGCATATATCACTACTCGGACCAACTCAAAGGTGATCGGGGCATAAATGGTCACAGGTATGGGAAGAAGCTGAATTATAATATAGCCGAAACTAATCTATAAAATAGAAATGGGGTCAATGGGATTGCAAATGGTAGCAAGTCCAATTCTACTGATCAGACTGTTTTCCGTGATCTCACTGGCTGCAATGTTGGCTTTAATAACTGGCACCCTGTTCCTGTCACACCCAATGGGGATCAGTTAGCTGGTCAGAGTGAAATGGGGGGTGTTTGGGAATGGACTAGCACACCATTGATGCCGCACGACGGTTTCAAACCTATGGACATTTACCCTGGATACACATGTAAGTGATACCTTGAGCATCAAAGCTGAACCTAAACTCATTGACCTTGACAGCGGACTTCTTTGATGGAAAACACAATATTGTTCTTGGGGGCTCCTGGGCTACTCTGCCTCGCATTGCTGGCCGGACTACTTTGTGAGTATAAGCTCTAAGGTATTCAGCAAACTGGATCAACTAACGCATTCTAGTGTCAATTGGTATCAGCATAACTACCGCTATACATGGGCGGGTGCACGTCTAGTTAGAGATATATAGACAGAGTTTGAGCAATGCTAATGAGCCTTTGAAATATTCCCCCGGAGTTCTCAATGACGATGACCTCATTCTTGCGATAAGAGATAAACCGCGGAGAGCGTAACGTGACTGCCCCTCATCTCTTCCCCAACATCTTCTCCAATTCCTTGTCTTGTTTTCATATTAGTTGAATCCTAAATATCTTGCATGATGTCGCTGGAAAACATTACGACTATCTCCCCCGCCACCAATGAGCCTGTTGTCGCCCGCACCGGTGTCTCATCGGAAGACTTGAAACAGCTCCCCGTGGCTGCCCAAGCAGCTTTCCGGTCATTCTCACAGTCCACAACTCTGGAACAGAGGCAGAAAATCGTGGAACGTGCTCTTGATATCTTGGAGAAAAAGCAGGATGAATTGGCACGGGAAGTTACTGAGCAGATGGGCCGGCCTATCGCCTATACAGGTGTCGAAGTTGCGACCGCCATCAAGCGTAGTCGTTACTTGATCCGCATTAGCAACTCCGTGCTAGGCGAGCAAGGAATTGAGCCTGGAGAAGAGGAGAAGGGATTTAGACGGTATATCAAGCGTTCGCCTGTCGGTGTCGCGCTGATTATCTTCCCATGGAACGTGAGTCCGTCAAGATATTGGCATATCTGCAGACGCTAATGTGTCAATACATAGTACCCCTACCTTACCCTCGTCAACAGCTTGATTCCCGCTATCCTCGCTGGAAACGCTGTAATTCTTAAGCCCTCCCCTCAAACCCCAACAATCGTTGAGCAATTTGCCTCTGCTTTTGCCGCGGCCGGTCTTCCCGAAAATGTGCTTCAATTCTTCCACTGCGGATCTTTCACATTCATTGAGACCTTGGTACGATCACCACTGGTGAACCATATCTGTTTTACGGGCTCTGAAGCTGGTGGCTTGGCAGTGCAAAAGGCAGCCTCCGATCGGATTGTGAATGTTGGTCTAGAACTTGGTGGTAAGGACCCAGCCTACGTGCGAGATGATGTAGATCTCGCCTGGGCCGCTGAAGAGATCGTGGATGGTGCTATCTTCAACAGTGGACAGAGCTGCTGCGCGATCGAGCGTGTCTATGTCCACGAGAAGGTTTATGATGGTTTTATTGCTGAGGTTAAGAAGGTCTTGAGTAACTACCGTGTTGGCAAGCCTTCCGATCCCAAGACCCAAATTGGACCTATCGTATCTAAGCGTGCAAAGGAGGCTATTATCGTGCACATCGAGGACGCCGTGCAGAAGGGTGCGAAGAACGAGACCCCTGCCAATGAGACCTTTGAGAACTTCCCTCCGAATGGAAATTATGTCAAGCCTACACTGCTGACCGGCGTTAATCATGATATGGCCGTTATGAAGGAAGAAACCTTTGGGCCTGTGATTCCCGTAATGAAAGTCTCCGGTGACGACGAGGCCGTTCGTCTGATGAACGATAGTGACTTCGGTCTTACCGCCAGTGTTTGGAGCAAGGACGTTGCGGCGGCTGAGAAGCTGGTCGAGCGTGTTGAGGCTGGCACTGTCTTCGTCAACAGATCTGACTACCCTAGCCCTGTAAGTCCGGTTCTTTCAATCTACTATTGTCACACTTGGCTAACCGAAGTACCCTATAGGACCTCGCCTGGACAGGCTGGAAGAACTCTGGCCGCGGTGTTACCCTAAGTCGATTCGGGTTCGAGCAGTTTGTCAAACTGAAGAGCCACCACATCAAGGACTACCCTAAATGAACATTCGCATGTGACATAAGTTACATCTTGTCAGCTAGGGGAATGCATTTTGTTACATAAATTATACTCTAAAATGGTGAATACTACTTACCTTCTTGACAAATGGCATAAGCTTAGATGACCGGATGTCACCATATGCCAGGTGGCGTTCTAATGCATAAATGTAGCCACTCAGTGGTCTTACTCCGCTCACTAAATCTGCAGATAGCTCGGTAGGCTGTGCAACCCTCCTAGAGCTTAATCTATGGAGTAGTTCAGGGGACTCGAGATTCTATCGGCCTGAAGCATAAGCCTCAACAGTCTCACTATCTACATAGTTGCACCCCAAAGATGCTATTCAATGCTAGTATACCCCATCATCTTGAGCTCGATGTTCTCCATTTTGTAACAAACCGGCAGTTTTTGCCTTTTGCCGGCTATTTTAGCCTGTTTCAGCTTTGATCCTAAAATGACATGTGTATTTTTAGCCTGCCGACTGCCAAGGTTGTAGTTGACTCACTTCCCACCCCTGTTATTAATCTTTGAACAAAAATCAATCATCTCTCAGGTCCTCGTCATGATGTCAATCCCATTGTCAGATGACAACCCCTTCCAATCCTTAATTGCGGAGGCAAACAACGATTCAGTGAGTGGATGTGAGAATTATGAGATAATATCACATGCTTAACCCTTTTTTTGCTCTAATGATAGGCAACACTACAATCTCGATACGAGAACCACCGAGTGGCTCGCAATAGCCAGCAAAGCGCAAAGATCCTAGCCGAGAGCTTTCCTGGCTGGTCCCTTGACGAGATTTTGAAGCGACTTGATGGTCCTGGAAAGGAAGATGGGTTTGTAGATCCTCGGAACTGTCTTGTCATTTGGGCTAGACCCTCACCTCAAGTTCGCGACCTGATATGCTTCATTCAAAATGAGTTGAAGAGCATTTCTCCTTGTAAGTTGTTCAATATACAATTATCTCTCGCGGAATTCCGCTTTTGGCTATTTGCTTCGTTAACGAGTGGCCATAGCGCTCTGGCTCATGCCACCTGAAAACCTTCACACCACTGTCTTGGAAGCTGCTCATTCCCTGACGGAAGATCAAATTGAAGAACTTGTCCAGACTCTCCTGTCATGCAAGGATGTCACATCTGCAGATATTGCAGCATACCCACGCAGCCGCCCTACACGTCTTATCAAGCCTATGGTAAGCTTTGATTCCGCCGCACTGGCGCTCAGCTTTGTTCCAGCTGCTGGTGAGTGCCTAGAGGCGGAATCCAGTGGCGATACTGAGCCCTACACATATCACCATCTCCGCCGAGATGTCTTTGACATGGTGCGACAAACTAAGGTCCCTGTTGCTTCGCGTTATATTGTTCCCTCGGCACATCTCACTATCGCAAGGTTCATCTCCCAGGACGGGTTTCTGGTTAAGGGATCAGATGGCGCAGAGACGGTCGATCATTCGCGCGTCAAGCTGTTGATTGATAAAATTGAAGAAATCAACCAAAAGTTGGAAAATGAGTATTGGCCAAAAGAGGGTGCGATCAGGGAGGGGGGTGAATGGATTGTTGGGCAAGAGGGCCTGGTCATTCGGAGAGGCCGTCTCTGGTATGGAGGCGGCGAGTATGTACCACTCGACTATTTACTTGGTTGAGCCAATCAATGTCTATTCTCCTAGTTCTAGAAGGGGTTTGCATGACTCTGGGTACACCTATGTTCTTGTTCTTGTTCTTAACCAGACCTTCCCCTCGGCGAGTCGTTCTAACGCCTGCCAGGTTATGGATGCGTCAAATGTAGGCATTATCACCTGGTGCATGGGTGATAAATATATTGACGTGAAATATGTTTAGGTGACAGATGGATGCAGTCGTATAGTCGTATGCTTCCTCAAAGCTATCACTTTCAAGTTCCAACAAATTCATCCCTCAGAGCCTGAGGCACTAATAACACCAGACTACGCAAAATCACGTGATACAGCTTATTGACCCAATTCCTCAAAATTGAAGCAAAAAACCAACTGTTATTTGGATTAACCTGCTATATAATACGGGATATTGATAGAGAAATACCAGTAAAACCAACTAAACTCACATCAACCAACCCTGGTGGGTGTGGACCGCATTCAGGCTTGGTCCCACTTTGTTCTCGCTTATAGTGCACATTTGGGCCAAAACTTACAACAAGCATGGCCGGCTGGCCCAATGGCAAGGCGCTTGACTACGAATCAAGAGATTGCAGGTTCGATCCCTGCGTCGGTCATCTCATCTTTTGCTCTTCCGATGTTGTAAACATTGGATATCTTTTTGCTGTTGTTATTTGTTGTTGGTAAACGCTATTTATTGGCACGGTCAAAATCACTGGGAAGGCGGGGGGAGGGGGAGGGGCAGGGGTTAGAAAATTGAGGTACCATTATAGTATGTACTGTAGCTCAGTCCCCGCCAAAGAGGCTGGAAGCAAGCGATTGGCCAGGGGAGAGAACAGCCTACTACCTAGGTACTCTTGGCTTTCGCACGTGCGCCTCTCCTCTAGTTGAAGAATCACAGAAAAAGAGACCTATATTGTATGGGGACTAAGTTATATCTGACACCTATAATTCTGGAATTGACAATTTTTTAGATTATAAGGACAAAGACCAAAACTTATCTACATCTTCATGATCCGATGTCGCAGAAGTCTTTTGGTTGGAGTAATACCAAGAAATCCCAATGCTGTACGGAGTAGCTCCGCCAAGCCTGAGATAATTTCTAATTACGCTCTGTAATGCATTTACCACGAAATACTTGATACTCTCTAAACCTACATATTTCCTAAATTTGAATGAGTAGGGCCTCTTGTATAATAGTAACTGTTCATTTACAAAAGAATACTAGAGCTGATATGGCAAACATCATCAATCCTAGGCTTTCCTAACTAAGCAGTATATTGTACTCGGTTGTTTTAAAAGACATTTTGTTACTAGCGCAAACTGATCGGCGGGATTTACATGGACAGAATTGTTGCCAGGGGGAGTACGGGGTAGAGAGGGTAGTAAGACAATTTCTAGGGTGCCCGACGCACTTACCAGCCCTGGGACTTAGCCAGAACAGAGAGAAGTTACTCGACTTGCCTTCATGAAGAATTCATGCTTTTCTCTTTCACTCAGTACTCACTCTTTCCTTTCTTATCTTCCCCAAATTCTTCGATTTTAGTATACACACCGAGCCCTCCCTTCTAGAGTTCCGTCAAATATGGCGGTGTTTCCATTCAACCTGAAATGTTCCGCTGTCATTCTCATGGTGGTAGCGCTTCTGGCCGGTGTTGCCTTTGCTCTTGGCCATGACGCCTTTTATCAAAGCTTGAATGGAAAACCTGTGGTGAATGGTCAACCACTCGGCGTTTTAAATTCCTCGTTGAATTTATCTGACCAGCAAGTTTATGTTTCTCTGGGCACTTTCTTTGCCTTCCTAGTGAAGAGCTCTCTAGGATTGTCAGTCTCAACGGTCTTTGACCAATCTGCTTGGAAGTCGATTCAAGGCCACAGAACTGGAATCGGTACCATCGACGATCTTCTCTCCGTTCTCAAGAATGGCTTCACAATCCTCAATCTGCAGTTGTGGAAGCGTTTTCCGATCAGCATGACTCTTGCTGTTATAGTTTGGCTACTACCTGTGGCGTCGATGATATCGCCGGCTACATTAAGTGTTCACTTAGCCTCAATTGACCAGCATTCGTTAAGACGAATCCCTCGTGTCGATTTTACAAGCGCGAATTTTGCCGATCTCAATTCTGCCCTCTTCACAAATTCGACTGGCCAGAATGGATGGCTTAGCGGATACAGTGGTCCCACGCCAGAAACCCAGAGGGTTGTCAACAGTGTCGCGACACAAGGAACAATTCTGCCAATAGAGCCTCCAGCTGTCAACTCTTCGTGGTCAGTGGAATTTCATGGTCCTAGTATTGTCTGTGACAACGTGAACTCAACCCTTGGTGCTTATATCACTCAAAATGTTGCTCAAGCGATGAAGGTATCTGAGCTATATGGACCGGAAGTTTCTAGCTTGACTAGATACGGGTATCTTTCTTGGGCACCAGAGTCAGATGATCCGAAAGGTTCCACTCCCTTTTATCAAGTAAATGGGAATGATACGTACATACAACGCTCTATTCAGCTTGGTCCCGAACTCAGAGATCCGGAGGGTGTCAACGTGGGAATTTCGACTCCAACAAACCCTTTCGTTCACGGAGCACCTCTATCTTTATTTGTTGCTATCTTCCCTCGCGCTATGGAATATGCCGAATATGACAGTGCTGTGGAGAACGTGGACAAAGCCGTACAAAATTCAACGATTCTACGTTGTTTGCTCCACAATGCATCATACCAGGCTGATCTCACCTACATCAATAGAGAACAGACGATTCATGTGATAAATAAGACGATTCTTAATGGTGTTGGCCTCGTTGACGCTATTGCCAACTACGACAACGGTTCCCTGGTGTCTTCGAATCTTTCATTCATACATAACCCTCAACTGATGGAGTGTCTGTCTTACCAGTCTTTGATGGAGGCCTTCGGCAGTCTCTTATTTGGATCGATCAAAAACTTTATTGCCATCGTCGCGAACCCGAAAAGCGGCACTGACCGGAGTTTTTCATACTCAGAGAATCCGAACACCAGTATCATATCAACAAGATTGATGGAAACAGAAGAGATGCGTTCCATTCAATTTATTACGAGCTCCAATATCAGCAGTCCATTTACGGATTACTGGAAATCGAGATCTGTCAGCTCGTTGAATATTTCGTCCACTCCATTATCAAAAGCCCTTGAGGAACTCTTTCAGGACGTCACATTTTCCCTTATGAGCTCCAGAATGTTCCAGTATGTAGTAATGGTCCAAATGTTAAGCCCCACAGCAAACTAATAACGCACGATAGGCCCAATTACACAATGAATGACATGCCAGAAACGAATGTGACTATCACCTCTTACCGCAATATCTACGTCTACACCCGATCGATTCTGTGGGCCGCTTATGGCACTGCACTTGGTGCCACTGCATTAAGTATCGCCGCAGGAATCTTGCTATACTTCACAAACGATGGCTCTTATAGTAGTAAATTTTCAACAATTTTCAGGATCACCCAGGGTGCCGTAGTATCTACGGACCTTAGCATGAAAGACTACAGTGGCCTTGACCCTCTCCCCGACCATATTGCGAATGCGAAGATGACAACCGGATATCACTCAGACTATGACCAAGGTAATCCTGTTACGGGTTCACCTACAGCCCATTTTCGTCATCCTCGTCGAGAATCAGAGGTTTCTAGCTAACTGGCCGAGACCACTATGTATTTACAACTAAAGTATTCATAGAAGCTTAATCGAATCGTTGTTTCTCTGTGATGTGCACTTTGACTCTATTTGTTACAAACTTAATCTCCCGGGCCTCATGCAAGAGAGGCCCCAAACACTAGCCAAAGCCAGACCGACAATGATCCAACCGCATTGTTCTGTCTGGTCATGGATTATCGGCAAAGCTTTTGGTAACTAACAAAGGGGCCAGCGGCTTCTACTTAAACCAATCGCTCCAGCCTCAGTTATTTATTCTTTTCCCCCCCTACTTCTCGTTGTTCAACCCACCCATTACTCTCTTCCTTACACCAGGATGCGTCTGGTTCTTGGTCTCTTCGTGATTGCAGCGGCCGCCACTGCAGCATCTGCTAGCACTGTTCCCCCTGAGCCATCAACTATTTTGAATGTGACATATTCTGTGGGATCATCTGAAGTCAGCCTCAAGCCTGGTGATTTCCTCAACGCAACCGGCATGCAAGAAAGCCCACGAGCTCCGCTGCTATTAGGACACGGCCTTGAAGAGCCTTCTTTCGCTGCTGACTGCCCAATCTCGATGGTCCTACCGCCGGGGCGGTGGATAAAGCACGAAATGATCTCCTGCATATATTATGCGCGATCCAGGATCTTCTCCTCGACCCGGCGGATCTCCTTCGAACATATGCTGCGGTAGGTGTAGCCAACTTCGCCCTTTTCCCTCTCTGAGTTAGGGCGCGCGAAATATACCCTAGCCGCCAGCCATCTACCGATCATAATAAATACTCCCTAAGCCTAGCCAGATTTAACGCAGGTGATAGTGGCAGGGATGTAACAGTTTTGACAGGGGTAGAAGAAGAAGAAGAAGAAGAAGAAGAAGAAGGGAACTCTTCCTTAAGCTGGCTATTTTCGGCGATATCAGCATTTCTTTGGGCCTGGTCTAAGGCATCTTACAGGCAGTGTCAATGACATAGGCTTTATATTGCTGATATCTCTAGGGGTTTTATAAACAATGAATTCATAGTTCACAAGTTGTTACACAGCAGTTAAGAAGTCCGTGCTAGTGCCTTGGGCATTACATCGATCAACACTTGTGCTGTTTTCGAGGAGTCTCTCTACCCTCCATCCAATCGTTCATTTCATTTCGCATCTTCAAGAGAATGAGAGACCCTCTGCCAACTAAAAGTACTCGATCATGTGATCCAAATTGTGATCCTACCCCGCTCCTAACAAAGTCTTTGTTTTGACCTTCTTCCAAGATTATATTATACAGAAGAAATATTCAGCATGTCCATTACCCATATCGTTCTTTTCCAGTTCAAGCCAGAAGTGGCTACTGAGGTCGTTCATGATGTAAGTTTTACCAAAAGATTACAACGAAGATGAACTTGACTGTGAACAATAAACACTTCATAATGGATATTAACGATTACCCCAAAAGGCCTGCGAGCGTATGCTTGCTCTCAAGGATAATTGCGTTCACCCCACCTCACAACAGCCCTATATCAAATCGGCATCTGGTGGGAAGGATAACTCCCCCGAGGGCATCCAGGTAAGTTTCCCTGAGAGTCTGGAGGACGGAGTACTTTGAGGAAACTTTACTAATGTGTGATAGAATGGAATTACACATGCCTTTGTCGTAGAGTTTACAAGCGCCGCAGATCGAGACTATTATGTACAAAGCGATCCGTCTCATCTGGCCTTCGTCAAAACTCTTGACGGGCTCATTGAGAAAGCACAAGTCATCGACTTCACTGATAGAGTTCTCTGAAGTTCTCAAAGACAGCTTCGACTCTTTTTTTGGCAATGAACCCATTTTTTTTAGACCCTGATTAGATGCTGGCTAGCTCCGAGACATGCTTATCCTAAGTGGTCTATTTTTTAAAAAAAAAAGACTTACTATTATGTATGGTGAATACTAAATAGGTCGCCCCGCTCAATTGAACTAGTGCGACGAGGAAAAGGCTGTCATTTTGACTGAGGTACCCTACGCCAAGAAGTTTGACGCAAATGATCCGGACATGGTTGAAGATGTTCACGATCTGTTGGCTGCCTCGGGAGGCACCTCAACGGTCATTGAGAAAAGAGCTGGCTCCAGATATATAGTCTGAGTTCGCGACACGTCGCCCATTATAAATCCGGGGCATACGTCGCACATCTTCGTAGATTGTTTCAAATTAGAGCCAAAAAGAAGCAAACAAAGAACTGAAATTAGTTGATTAGGGATGATTTAGGCAGAAGCGTACTAATCGCGAGTCTATAATCCCGTCGCCTTCCGAGCGTCCTAGTCGAGTTCGTTTTCTCTGAATCACACGTTATTCTCTACCCCGGACCATCCGACCAGAATGATGGCAGTGACATCCCTGGAAACACTTGTGCGTTCGTTCGCCACTTTTATCATCGACTCACTGGAGGCTGCGCCTTTCCAAACTTTCGCCATTTTTGTTCTCCTTCATATCCTTTTGGTCCCGACCATCATAACCTTGGTGTTCAGATTGTGTGGCCTAGCACCTGCCACAGACAAGTCGCAAAGGACTTGCCCAACATGCGACGGAAGCGGGGTTGTTGATACGACAAAAGATGAATCATCACCGAAGTCTACTTGAATTTTTGAGATGCGAATTATCTTTGGGTCATTTCAACTCAAACGAAATGCCAGTTTGAACGATTCATCAACAAGAACAAGACTGATATATTTGATGAATTCATTTGCCCGATGTAGCATGCTCTAAATATATGCCCGGCTCAGGGGCTTGTGCGATGTATATATACCATTATTTGAGGCAGCCCACGGACTTTTTCCAGTGCAGAGTATTGAGTACATATTCAGTTATTGAAGCTTTCCGTAGTGGGACAGTGGGCGCGCTGTTTTTTTTTTCCACCAATCCAAGCTTGGTGTTTGTGTTGACCTAAACTTTTTAAGATCATGAACTTGAAGGGTTTGTGGGTTGGCCCGCAAAGGTCACGCCCTTTGTGTACAAAGGTCCCGCAAGAATGGATCCTCAACGCACGGAAATACATTCCCGGGCAAAGTAGCAATGCTCCAATTTGCTAGTGAGTTTAATAAATTTCATAGCCAGGAATGTTAGCCAAGCTTTAGCTTCGGGGAGTGCCGATGGGCTAACAGTACTCCGTATACTCCGTACTAGTAGCACTCTTTGGACCCCAGATCTAGAAGAACCTTGCATTGAGAGGACGGCAATACATACCACTGCCGAGCTTGGCACTCTTTCATGTTTTTGACCTTTGCTGGAATAGTATATATTGGATTCAATACATGATTAAATTGAGTTCTCGTAAATATATCAATGACCGTATCTTTAAGCTATTCATACTTTCAGTCAGACTTAGCTCAAAGTCTGGGGATTCCCCATCCCTACGGTTCCATTTAAGTTAGGGCTCGACTCTGTTTGCCCAGATGAAACAACCAACAATTATCCAACATAGCGAGATTATAGTGACTAAAAAAATATAAAAAGTTGAATTGGTTCTTATGTCTTTCATATTGAAATTAATAATATGAGAATAGGTACGAAGTACTATCTAAGACTTGTGCTGAGCTACACTGACCTTTGTGAGCTGTTCTTTGACTTGCCATTGCTCCGACGCAAGGGAGACGCGAAATAATAAAAACACGCCAACCATTCCCGAGCCTCGCAGCCACCCGCAAGGTCTTTTGTTTCGATTGAATTGATGGTATTTCTGGAACCTTTTACGCGCGGGGTTACTATTATAGCGAAACAAAGGAAACTGAGTCGAGAAACATGCCTTGTTTCGGAATTGCCAAGATGGTTGAAATTTGTGCATGTAGCGATATCTCACTAATGCTAATACGGGAAAGGACTTACGATTGTCTTAATCAGTCTCTGAAATTGTGTATACACTTGACCTGCATGATCAGGTCTACCAAATATACCGGGGTCGCAGTCAATACTCCGGATATGGGCACATATCTAACCCTGATTAATGAGGTAACCCGTAAGATCATCCCTGTCAGTTCCAAGTTTATGATCGATCGACACGGCTACAGAATTAGTGATCGACGATGCATCCTTGGAAGAAATGACTAAAACTGATTGCCGAGAACCGGGTCTCAAGAACGCTTGGTTTCCGAGACAAAGACATAGGAAACGAGGCAAAAAGACATTCCAATTGAGCTAATGAGCTTGCATGAGAAAAATCGATTTTCCCCAGAGCTAGGGACAAGGAATCCCGTTTCCCGCGAGCTTCCAAGACCCTCACAGGGTTCATTCATGCACATATCCGACCCGGTAAATGGGGACTTAAGGGATCGGCGGCTGGCTATTATTGAAATATCCTGTACTCGGGGAAACGGGCTGTACAAAACTTTAGAGATGAGTCTCTAATCCCAGAATGGAAAACGGAACACGAAGAATGAGAGGGATATGTTTCGCCAGAACACGAGGGACCTCTTTGCTTCTTCTCCCTTTTACCCCTTTGGTCTGGGCCGCTTTCCACTCGATCCACTGAGGGTCGAATACCGAATCTGCATGGGTCTCTAATGCCAGCATATCTTCCCTGCAGCCTGCAGGTCATGATTGCCGCCTGTAATACCCATCTGCTGTATTACATCCGATGAGTTGCAGCAGATCGTGGGTATATTGTCCGCATATAGAGAGATAGAGATCTGTAGAAACGATCGGCTCGGGTGATAAACATTTGAATTCCTAGCAAGAGCCGGAATAGGTCAAAGGGACTCCAAGCATTCGGAACTCTTTGCCCAAAGCCAATCCCAAGCAATCCAGGCCCCAGGGAGGACCCACTGCTGCCGCCAGGGGAGCGAACTGCCAGACTGGAGTCCTGCCGAGCCTGTCATCCTGTCCATGCCAAAGGTACGGCTGTCGCCTAGTTCAACCGGAGCGAGACTGTGGATCGGTTTGTCCCTGACACGCCGGGAATAGCATAGATGTGCATAACTCCGTACGTACTATATATGTACTCTCGCCCGGCCTTTCTTTGACTCTCATTCTCTAAGCACACCTCAATGGTGTAGAGCAGTTGTGACCTTTTTCTTTTTTTGTTCCTTTTCCTTTTTTTTGGGTGCTGTCATCCCCATCCTCTCGTTTCGCCTTGTCATTCGTTTTATAGCATTTGTTTCACGTCCAATCGTTGCCTTTATTCCTTTCATTTCCTTGTTCGCATTCAAGGACATACTAGCCGGAATCGCCATTGTTCCAAACTCCTACGAACTGTCTAGCTCTTCATAAAAGCTCCTTTTCCTCCGACTGGATCAATCGAAACACCATCGATCCAATATGGAATGCTTTCGGCAAATTTTCCGGTGCCTAAAGGCACCTCTCAGACGCGACAAGGGAAGGATTATTGAAATTGTAAGTCGAGTAGAAATCAGGGAAATGGGCTGTCGTTGCAAAAGAAGTCGCTGACAAATTTATCAAACAGGGTCCTCCCACTGACTTCCGAAAAGAAGAATTGCCTGCTTATTTTTCCGATGCCGAGTCAGTTCTCTCGCCCAGCCAAAATCCGACAGAACGCTCACATCTGACCAATCAATCACAGGACGCTCACGTCCCAGGACAGCCGCACAGCGACCGTGGAGAAAGACGGCACGATGATCGAAATGGTAGCTCTACCATCGTCGACGAAGAGCAAGGTGCGGGCCCATGTCCGAAGGATGAGCGTGAAATTGTCATCCGCCTCCGAGAGCGCGTGAAGTTACCCCGATGGTGGAAGTCGAGCCCAGCTGCAGGTCACGAAACTGAGGCCTTGGCCGAATCGATCAAGATGAAGGAAATGCGAAGTACCGAACTGGAGGGTTGATAGGGAAATTGTGGATTGGTCCGTGGATGGTCACATCAAGAAAGTTGGCACTTCATTGTGCCGGGATTTTTTTGCATCTGAAATTTTTTTTCCGCCTGCCACAGGTGAATGTCTTGAAGGAGGTTCCTTGGACTTGTTAGAGATAGTACTATTTATCCTAGATGACTCTGGTAGTTCATCAAGGTCATCAAAAAGCGATTGAACTCGTGATTTGTACGCGTTCGCTGGACTGGGCCGCCCATGTGCTGGTTTCACGTTTGGTTTTGACGTAGACATGATTTGTATTTTAGATTGCCGCTGGGCTCGTGGTGTTGTCTCATCGTGTGTCTGACTTTTTCGTGGAGTGTCATTTGTTCTTCTCGGTGGTGGGAGCACGACTGGATTGGTTTCTAGGTCGAGATCATCATCGTCCGAGCCCGAGGCCGTCTCTTCATCTAGTTCAATGCATGAAACTTCTGGTGCTCTTGATGTTGCAGTCACACTCCCTATACTGCTCACCCGGGCTCGTCCAGTACGTAAAGTAGGCGCCTGTCCAAAGCCCGCCGCAGCTCTAGTAGAGGACTTGGGCGCGTGAACTCCAGCTAAGGATCGAGTTTTTCGTGGGCTCGTCATCAGATCATGGAGATGTGTTCCAGCCCATCTCTCATCATCTTCAGCTTCATCTTTCTCGTCGACTCCTCCGTGTCCGATCTGCGCAAGTCCGGCTTTTTGTCGCCCCCTCAGCGCTTCGGTTTCCCTTTTCCGTTCAACTTCGTTTGGAAGTGGGGTACGGCCGTCTGTAGGCCTCTCAATTTCTCCGATCCCGGCTGCATTATCGGCTTTCACTTGCTTTCTCCGTCGCAGGTACTCCGCATGGTGTAGATGTTGAGTAAATGCTTGTGCGACGGCGTAGAACTCGTCTTCTACCATGACCCAGCCATCATCGTGTTGAATTCCTTCGATCAGGAATCTATAACGTGCATATTAGCGAATTTCTCTAGTTGCGCGGGGCCTGTTTGCGATCGTACTCTTCGGAGGGACAGCGTCTGATTGGAGAGGTCGGCGGGCTTTGGGCTATATAAAGCAATCAGACTTGGTATTTGGCTACAGATATTCCAAATAAAGAACCTACAGGACCTGAAGAAATCGCGCCTTGGGGGAGAAACTCGAGGGTTTTTGGGAGTGAGGTTGTGATCAGGACTGGGTTCCGTTTTCACGCGCTTCCGCGGTGTTGACTCCTTTTTCACAGGAGTTCTATTCTCAGCGCGAAGCCAGGGCAATGTCCTGGGCATAATTCAAGATAATATAAGGGAAATCAAGACGTCGCTTGGTGTCGCGATCTTAGCAAAAGATTACAATGAGGGAAAGAGAGCTACTGATAGGCATCCACGGGCGATAAGGTGAGGTCACCCGCATTCCGCGCAACGCAAACCTTTAATTTGGGGCTTCCCTACGAAATGGAAAAATTTGCAAGTATGCAACTCATTCTTTTGGGTATCTAATGCCATTTTGGGCATTGGTAATGCAAGATGAAAAGAACTGGGACCGCCTCAAACGCCTCGTGCAGGATATATCATCGAAATCAAGAACGGACTGCCGGTAGAACGCCCATTCAACCATTTGAGGGAAACAAAATAAAACGCCAGTATCTCTGTCCATGCAAGGCTCCGCTTACACCTCGCCAGGCCGCTTGCTGTTGCAGCTCACGATCTTGACCTTGTCCGCGGACACAGTTGTCTGGTTGTCCAGCTTGAACGAGACATCCTTAATCAGGAAGGTCCAGACTTCGTCGCAGAATCGGTAGGTGTCCAGGTGACCCTAAAATTGGTGGAAATGTATATGTTAGCCTCATCGAACTATGATCAAACCATGGCCCATTGGGCAAGTGCTTTGAACGTGAAATGAGTTACCTTGAAGGTGAGTCTGGCCCGAACTTTGTCCGCCAAGACTTCGGTGACAATCTTGTCAAAGGTCCCGAGGATTTTCATCGCTAGCTGGGGCTCGATGCGGCCTTCATTGATCAGATCGTCGAGGGTGTCGGTGAGGGATAACCCGAGGCTGGATGTTCCTTCAGTCAGCTTTGGGGCATTCGATTCGTTTCGTCGGGTATATTACCTGCTGCCACGGTAAAGCTCATAGTAAGCTACAGATGCCATCCTGAGATGAATTAGTGGCAGACTCGTCAAAATGGTATCGGAGGAGTGAGTGACAAGAGCAAGTTCATGATCGCCTGCCGAATCGCGGAGGCGGTCATCAACACGTGACCTTCTTATAGTCACGTGTAAATCTTTATCTTGAATTGCGTCAGTGTTTCGACATGTGTTTCGACCTCACAGATTTATCAGTAAACATACAAATTTGGAACAAGCTCGAGGATTAATACAGCATGACTGTGAAAGGATTGGGGCCTCTATCCTTTCGAAATAAAACATTATCCAGTCGATTGCATGTTACTGGTATACGATCCTTATCAACAACCTTGTTCAGAGCATCGGAAGCTCAAGGTCGGTCAGTTCAGTTCAAAAGCCCATCTCAAGCTAACACGCATTGTTTTGGAACTATAGACTCCCAAAGTCACCAAAATACAGAGTCGAAGCAAGGAGAAAGCAATCAGACATCAGAGAAATCCTCGAACCAAGATAATAATCGCCGCACGCTCCCACCCACAGTCAAAACCGTCTCCCAAGCTGATGCTGAGCTTCGCGAGCGGCTCGAACAAATGTCTGGAGCAGGAGGGGCCTGTGGAATTGAATATGAAGACGGCAAACCGAATGCAATGAAGCGCGGCGTGCGAAACAACATGTTCCGATTAATTTGAAACAATCTTCGACATCAACATATCATAAGAACAAATCTTGATCATCTCTCAAATTTCACGGATATAAATACCAGCGAGGTATTACGTCCTGTAATGCAAGCTTGGCTTCATATGCTTTGGCAATATACGCGGGGGAAGAATGTTCTCAGCTCATCGTTCTCTTCCGTGCCCGAGAGTTACATATATCCATCAGGACCAGACTTCTTAAACTTTGTTTCCGACAACATAGATTAGGATGCTCAGGCCTGCCTTAGGTTGATTTTGCCTAATTAGTATTCCGAATATGTGCATGTGAGGTTCTTTGATAAGGATAAACGGTCATGCATAATCAAATGCATTCCGCTCCTCGGATGTGCCTGCATTCTCTGATTATGCTTCCTTGGGTGGAGCCGCGCAATCAGTCACGATGCCCTCGCTGTGAAGTTCTTGACTCTCAATAGTTGGAACATTCCTAGCCATGTGCCATCGGAACGCTTTCATTTCCTGGTTGGGGTGGACTTCATTGCAATGCGCAGGCTTCTTGGTGAGAACGAGAGCGAGAGAGTTGCATGCATGTCATATTAATGCTCGGTGCAGTGCCTCATAGGCTGGGCTTCAATGCCATGCTTTGATCGGCGGTGAAATATCGCTCCGGGGGTTGGACTTCGACAGAAAAGTTGAGAGACCATAAATATAGCAAACCATATCATGGGGACGAGGAATGGACTGGTCCAAATCCAATGAAAGCGTAAATCAACGAAATTACCACTGTCCAAAATAGGATCCCAGTGGCAGAAACCAAATCTCATTTCTATGCCGTGAGCCCCAACTCGAATTTAAAAAGAAACAGATATTGTCCCATTACCACCTATTTTCGGCCATTTTCGCATTGCTGAACTCCACCCAAAGAAGGAAAAAGAAAGAAGAAAAAAGAAAACAAATGCTTGCTAGCGTTTCATAGAAATCTCATTTCCGCACAACCATGCCAGCCAAAACACCAGCGCCAATGACACCACCGTCGGATGCTTCCCGTAAGAAAACTGACTTCCCACCTCGCTGTGGACCAGTCCGCATGATAAGACGGTCAATATATTGTTGGCACATCTCCTTGAATTGCGGGTAGTGTTGGATAATGCCACCGGTGTAAGCCACGACGAGTTCTTCAGGACCGGACTGCCAATCTATTGGCGTAGGGTCGAGGACAGGGACGACATGTTCCTGGGCTGCATGGTTGGCAGCGACAGCGGCAGAGTTGAGACTTGCAGCCGCAGCGTCCGGTGCACCAACGAACTCAGTGATGGCGTCGCCGTTGCTCTGAGGTGAAGCAGGATTCTCAGGTGAGCTGCTGTTGCTGTCTTCCTTCAGCTCGATCTCACGAGCACAGGCTAGGAGTCCAACCACCGCAGCGGCAATCAGCCCAGCTGACCGTCTCTGTACTGCACGAGCGATCTTTCGGAATGCTCCCGCGGCTCGGGCATCCCAGCGCCAGTCACTGCTCTCTGGTGGAGGGAGGGATTTGTTCAAGGCTTTAGCGAGGTCGCTGTCAGATCGGGATTTGGCGACAAGGTCGGAGATAAATGTTGTTGTCAGGGCGTATTCTTGGATGAGATTTGCAGGTAGGGAGCGTTTTGATAATTCAGCGACCGTTGTGAGATAATCGAATAGGATCAAGCGAATCAGTTCACCAATGTAGCGGCCTCCGGTCATGTATTCGAATGGCTGGAAGCCTGGACGTGCACAGGCCTGGTCCAGCTCAATGTCCCATTTTGTGGTCACATTCAGCTCCTTGAGTGGTGGCGCAGCACCAGAAATAGTCCACTCGGTGTTAACGATAGTCTCCACAGCGCTGGGTTCCATTGCGTTCACACTCTTGGCTTTAGATTCGTGCAATGCACTGAGCTTCATTGGGATGGTTGCGTTACAGCCAGTGCCCACAATGATACCCATGGCGACTCTGCTGTTTGGTAGAGATTTGACCTTGTACGCAAGGGAAGCTAGCGTAGCTACTGTGTCATTGGTGATGGCTTGGATTTTCAATTTTGGTAATGCGAAGAGCTTTCGACGTTTGGTTGAAGGTTCGTCTTCATCATCGGGTCGCCTTGTGTGTTTTTCATACCCATTCAGAAGGATATTTCCAAGATTAAGATTTGATGAGATAGCGAAGCCTTTTCCCATGGGCATTAATGTGGCCTCTGCCAATGATTCTTGCCTGGGCTTGGTTAGCACACAACAACTGACCTTGGTAGCAGGAGCCCCAAAATCCGGGAAGACGAGCAACACAAGCACATTAGGAAAAGAACTCACATGATGGGGAAACTGAATGTGATTCCCATATCTAATTCGGCGGGGATATCCTTCTTAGTAGCATCCGATGATAGACTCTCCGCTACCACCTCCGCAATGCAATCACCGATCCAAGAAAAGAGATCTTCAGCCTTGTCCATCTTCAAATGCTCTTGAATAGGCCAAGCTCGTTCCAGCGTTCGCTTTACTCGTTGGCGCTGGGCTTTCCGGATGGTGTCCCGTGATCTCTCCGTGGCGTCTATAGGTCGAACATCGGAATCCACGGCTTCTCCAAGCAATTCGATAAAAGCAACTCGAAGGTTGCTCCCTCCTACATCAATCGCTAGATAGCGCCCGGTTTCCCGACCAGTAGGAAGTTGAGTGACGGGTGTTGGCAAAAATTGCTGGTCCGATGTCAGGGCCAGATTGCGGTATGTGGTGGAAAAGCGCCGGGCGAGTTTATACAGCACAGCCTCATCCAGGGACATTGGTGACAAGAAATCTTCCAATTGTTGATTGTGCGCCAGACATTCTTGTTGAATGGCGTTTAGTTCCGAACTGTCATCCTCATGTTCTTCATCGTCAATCAAATCGTCGTGCATGATTTCGCGCTCCTCGTCCTCATCCTTCTTGGACGATTTTGAATTGACCGAGGCCATGATGGAAAATGGAAGATATATCCGAAATTTTTTTGAAAAAAAAAAGAAAAGAAAAGAAAAGAAATCGCTATTCCAAATGGTTGAATACCAGACAAAATGAGCTGACACAGCTATGTCAATAGTGACGTGTAGGGGTCTGGAATGTTTAGGAATAGAGACAGGGCACCCTATCCTTAAAATCCTTGAATTGTGGAGACAAAGCTAGCGAGGGAGCTAATCCAATGCCTCAAGAGCTAAACTTGTTGTGTTAGCGAGGTTGCGAAGGAAATATTTCGGTGACGCGGTCTGCAGGTCGTTTGGGCTGCGGGGAAAAAAAAAAGGGAAAACACGACGATCATGCCAGAAGGGGCAATCTCCATCTATGTTTTATTCCGTACATACCCTGGAATTTTCGGTATGTACTAATTGCGCTGATCACGCAAATAATATTTCTCAGGGATAAGGGTGGGAGATGATAGACTATATACGGGGGATCGGGGGATCTTTGGGCTATGTTGTAGGGAAATATCCCTAGATGGCCCTGAGGGAGTTGTTGAAGAATGGAGTTATAAAGCTCCCTGCTTTGAGACAGGAGGAAAAGCAAAAGAGAAAACAGAAAGAAATAAAAGAATATAGGAAATTTGTTAGGTACCTTTTCTGTTTTGGCTGAAGTAAGTACTGCAGTGATTGGAAGGACAGTGTCGGGGAACAGTCGGAGGTCAGAAGTGGGGGGATGAAATGATTCGTATCAGATGTGATATGTTGATCAGATAGAAAGGTCCAGAAACTCAAAAATTAGACAGATTATAAGCTTGAAAAGTCATAAGAAAGAAAGAAAAACAGTAAATATATAAGAGATGAGATGCGACCATCGGAAGGCACGAGGCGATGCGACGTTGTTCGGGGGCAAGCTAAGTATCCCCTTGACTTTCTATTGGATTAAGAAAACTCTACTTTTAATCTCCCCTCTTTGGCATCTTTCTAAAATCAACTCTCGGTGTCTATGTAACCCTACTTTAAATATATCCGGCTAAACCCTGCTCTACTTTCAAGAGCAGAAGATTATCCCAGAGAGCCAAGCCGATTTCCCCATTCTTGGCAGTCTCGGGATTAGACAAAGCCCAAGCCTATGCGGCGTTTGGAGGCGAGTTCCAATCGGTTGAAAAGTAATACACCTCTTTAAGAGGAACATTGGTGGGGTCAAAGGATTCTGGCCTGGAAAAAAACGCACCAAAGTATGGTGTTCCAATGTTGCTATTCGTTCGATACGAGACTCGCCTAAGTTCGATTCATGTATACACTACTCGTGGCACTCGCGTGGTGATCGGGCCGGACATACCCGTATTCAGACGAATGCGCATCTACATTTTGACCCAACAGGAACGAACCCATTTGCATGGTCTCGGTCTCGATCATTCGCTGGCACCCGCCACATCAGGCTGTCAGATCTGACTGGGGTCGGTTCAAACTGCCTTACCTTGGTGTTGCCCATAGTTGGTCATAGTTGATCATCTGCCCATCGGCAAATAGTCCGATGCTTCTCGTGTTTGGTACAATTCTATCATAGAATTGATTAATCAAGGTTTCATGTACGAGCCTCAAAAGCACGCGATCCCAAGCCATTATGCACGGTCTGTCCAGAGACCATACCCGACCAAGCCCAGTGATTCTAGACATGGGGCTATTTGAAACTTTAAGCTACGGAGTAGTCGATGCCCCATCTAAATCGCCTCCGAAGTCGGAGCCCAGCCTGATCGGATGAAGGTGTGCACGGATACAATGGATCGAATGGCCTTGGTGATTGTTTAAGCGTTTAGGAGGGGAAAATGTCTTACCGGCCTTTCAGCCAAAACAATAGTAACAATTGTAGGGCTGTATCCTTATGATTAATTAACAATAATGGCTGGGGCTCACCTAGCCATATGTATCCATCTACATACTTTGTCCATAAAAGGCTTAGGGAATATCTTACGTAATGACCTTGGCACCCCTCCAGAGCTCCGCCCGACCTCTCCACATGATCTTATCAAAACAACGTCACTTCTGATTTTATCTCAGCATGGAGAAACTACCGATCCACTCTAAGGAGGGATATGGGGA